TATCTTTGGCCAGCAGTTGTTTGGGATATAGCCTATAGGGACAACACATATATATGCCACTACCAGGTCATTCGAGCTGCCTTTGTCTTACTTTTTCAAAAGGTGGCTGGATGTTACATGGAACCCAATAATATATAGTTTTGTAGTGATTATTCTACCTTATCTTCGTCCATATTTGATGGCTTTCTGGTCGTTTTCTAGGAATAATAAGTAGGTAATGCTTTAAGCTGCTTCTTCTTGGAGTTACGCATGTAGTGAGAGCGATTTAATAGTAGTTGGCAAGTGTATGAACACGATGATGCCACCTTATCAAATACTACACAGGGTTATCTTGATCGTGAAAAAAGAGTCTGAAAATAATTAACAGTTATCTATTTTCCTGGTCGGTAAATATTAACTAAACAACAAATATATATTATTGAGGTTATTGTATGGACTTGCCTTCCAAGGATTAGATAATGCATTCTTTATAGGGTTTGTATTTTTCTTCTTTAAATTATAGTCTTAGTCTTGCAATATATCTTGGTTTTATTGTTGTAATAAGCTACTACTTTTCTACTTATTTTGAAAGCTTCATTCAAAATAAGTAAGGGTCCACCATCATATCAAATGGATTAATTTTTGCTATGTCCTCTAAACAATGTCCGAAATCCCACGTTGTGAAAATCATTTTGATCCAACTTGCTCTCTAAATCCATTTTTTACACTAGACCCTATCCTCAAATTTCTTGCTCTCTGCCACCATCCTAGCATTGTCAGTAGAGTGCTGGTCATTCTTTGTAGTTGCCTTAGCTAGTTGCTTTGCCAAGGACTTGATCTCTTCCTCCTTACGACCCACCCGATCTTCCGTGCTTCTGACGATCGTAGTGAGGCGCCACTCACACTCAACCTTCGGCTCCTTACCAAAGTCTCCCTAGAGAAGGGCTGCAAGAAGGGTGTAGGAGGACTCGACCAGATAATTTCCTTGGAGAGGAAGACTGAAGAAGCAATTAGCACATAAATGGTCAAAAATCATGTATTCCCTCGATCATACTCTGAACCTCACAAATTGGCACATTGTACCAATTCATTTGCTAATCGCACACAATGAAGCGCACATTGGAACGGAGGTCATTTGGAATATCCATAGGAGATTATCCTCAGTAGTGTTGGTATTTAGACAATCTTTCATCATTAATAAAACTTGAATAAAATGATAAAAGATTGAAAATCAAAGAAACAGAGTGCAGATAGCTTTGGAAACAGAGGGCTGGTGCTTTTTATAAAATAAAACTTGAATAAAATGATAAAAGATTGAAAATCAAAGAAACAGAGTGCAGATAGCTTTGGAAACAGAGGGCTGGTGCTTTTTATAAAAACAGAGATCTGATCTTTTCATTCAAATATTTTTTATATATATGGCTCAATACATAAGCCGACTGAAGTAATTGGATCGACTGATAAAGAGAATGGGTGGACTGATAAAGGCAACAGTCAGCCCTTTTACATAGAATTGAGTCGACTGAAAAACATTACAAATTACATAAAAGAACATCAGAAATTAGACAGCAAACAGAAGCAAAGGATTAACTTTAACACTCCCTTTTAATGCTTTGCTGCTTCACTCCCAAAAGTTCTCTTAGGTAGATGAATTTGTCCTTTGGTAATGCCTTGGTGAAGATATCAGTAACTTGATCTTCTGTCTTGTAGTAGAGCACATCCACTTCCTTGTCTTCCACAGCACCTCTGATGAAGTGATGCTTCAGAGCAATATGCTTTGATTTACTATGACAGACAGGATTCTTGCTCATGGCAATAGTTGACTTATTGTCACAAAGGATATGAGTTGCTGATTCTTGTTTCTCACCAAAATCTTGCATAATTCTTCTCAGCCACACTGCTTGAGAAGTTGCAATTGAAGCCAACACATACTCAACCTCTGCCGTTGATAGTGCAACTAATTTCTGTTTCTTAGATGCCCAAGAGAATACACCAGTCCCTAATGTAAAAGTATAGCCAGATGTGCTCTTCAAGTCATCCACACTACCTCCCCAGTCACTATCACAGAACCCATACAATTTTGGCTTAACATTCCTTTCATACATAATACCAAAGTCAAGTGTACCTTGTATGTATCTTAGGATCCTCTTTGGAGCTCCATAGCGAATGCAAGTAGGCTTGTGCATAAATCTGGACAACAAGCTTGCAGCATACATAATATCGGGTCTAGTCGCTGTCAAATACAACAAACTCCCAACTAGGCTTCTATACACAGATTCATCAGCATCACCACTACCATATTCTCTTTGAAACTTTTCATTCACAACTAGAGGTGTTGCAACAGGCTTGCAACCAACCATTTTGAACTTTTCTAGAAGTGTTTTTGCATATTTCTTTTGAGTAATAATGATACCATCATTTGATTGAATGATACTAATTCCCAAAAAATAATGCAACATGCCTAGATCACTCATCTCATATTTCCTCATCATGTCATTCTTGAAATTCAAGATCATATTATGACTACTTCCAGTATAAACCAAATCATCAACATATAAGGAAACAATAAGGATATCTGAAATACCTTCTGTTTTGACATAGAGGGTAGGTTCATTCTCACTTCTTTGAAAACCCCTTTCATTGAAATATGAGTCGATCTCTCCATATCATGCTCTCGGAGCTTGTTTCAGGCCATAAAGTGCCTTCTTAAGCTTATACACCTTGTGCTCTTGTCCTTTAAGAACAAATCCTTGAGGTTGATCAACGAACACCTCTTCTTTTATGACTCCATTTAGGAAAGCCGATTTGACATCAAGTTGGTGTAGAAACCACCCCTTCTGAGCAGCTATGGAAATAAGGCCTTTGATTGTTTCATGCCTAGCTACCGGTGTAAATGTTTCTTAGAAATCAATCCCGAGTTTCTGAGAATAACCTTTTGCTACCAATCTAGCTTTGTTCTTTTGAACGGAACCATCTTGATTGAGCTTAGTCTTATAAATCTACTTCACTCCAATGACAGAGTTGTCACAAGGTCTGACCACTAGTTCCCATGTCTTGTTTTTCACAATGACATTGAGCTCCTCTTGCATTGCAGCTTCAAAGTCTATTCTTTCACTACATCATCAAAGTTTTCTGGTTCTTCAACACAAAAATTGCAGCTTTCATAGACTTCATTTAAGCTCTTTAACCAAACCGGCGTTGAACTTGGACTTGAAGGTGTAGGAGAGTGAACTAGAGGACTGTTTTCGGGTGATAATTGTGGAATTTCTGACTCAATTTCCTCTTCAATTGGTTGATTTTCTTCTTCAATTCTGATTAGTGCAGATTCCTTTCGGATGGTTGCTTGATTCCAATCCCACAAAGATTTCTCACTAAAAAGAACATCTTTACAAACCATAACTTTCTTCCTTTTTAAATTGTAAAGTCTGTACCTTTTTGTGTATGAAGCATAGCCTATGAAAATGCATCTTTCACTTGACTCATCAAGTTTTTGTCTTAGTTCTTTCGGAACATAAGTAAAGCAGATTGACCCAAACACTCTTAAATGATTCACGGAAGGCTTTCTTCCACTCCATGCCTCAAATGGTGTCTTATCTTCAACTGCCACTGTTGGATGCCTATTCAAGTAGACCGTTGTATTAACTGCCTCACCCCCACAAATATTGAGGCATTCCCCTATCATGCAACATTGCTTTAGCCATTTCGACTATAGTTCTGTTTTTTCTCTCAGCTACTCCATTTTGTTATGAGATGTAGCTGACTGTAAGTTGCCTTTCCAAACCAATATCTTGACAAAACTTATTAAATTTTGTGGATGTATAATCTCCTCCTCTGTCACTTCTAAGAACTTTAATTAGATAACCAGATTGTCGCTCAACCATAGCTTGAAGCTTCTTGAAGATTGAGAACACTTTTGATTTCTGTCTTAAAAAGTATACCCAAGTCATTCTAGAATAATCATCCATGAAGATTAGGAAATACTTGTTTCCCACTTAAGTAGAGGTCTTCATGGGTCCGCAAACATCTGTATGAATCAATTCCAATGGAACTTTTGCTCTCCAAGCTTTACCATGTGGAAATGAATCTCTATAATGCTTCCCAAGTGCACACCCTTCACAGATTTCTTCATTTTCTTGGATACTCGGCAACCCATGCACCATTTCTTTTTCTTTTAGCTTCTTGAGACTTTGAAAATTCAAATGGCCAAGCCTTTTATGCCATAACTTTGAATCTTCTTGCACTTCCATCTTGAATGCAGATTGAGTTGCATACTCAATTGTGAGAGGAAAACTTCTACTCTTCCTCATCTCAATCTTAGCCAAGAGTTGTTGATGATTCCTCCTATCATATATCTTGCAAGTATTGTCTCCAAAATATAAGTAGTAGCCATGCTCAATGAGTTGTCCAAGACTAAGCAAATTTTGCTTCAAATCATGAACTAACATGACACCCTTGATGAACATATTTCCATTCTTCGTATGCACGGCAATAATACCTCTTCCCAATGTATCGACTAGCTGCCCATTTCCCATCTTCACTCGGGTTAGGTTTGTAGTGTCAACATTATGGAGAATATTCTTATTTGCCGTCATATGATTGCTACAGCCGTTGTCCACAAACCAAACTTTAGCTTCTTCTTGGACGGTTGTATCATGACCAACATAAAACATATTGGTCTCTTCATCTTCTGCTTTGGTGTAGTGAGCTAGCTGATTATCTTTGTAGGTACAGTCCTTTTGCATATGCCCGAATCTGCTACACTTGTGGCATTTCACTTTTCTTTTGAACCAACATTTACCAGAATGAGCTTTGTCATAAATTTTGCACTTCGAAACATACAAACTCTTCTCAACCTTTTTCTTCTCTTCAAAATTACCCTTTCCTTCCCACACTTTGTTTTTGCCTTTCCAATTCTTGTTGGAGTTGGCTTTGCTTTGACTTGAACTAGCTTGAGTTTTTGGATTCACTGTAAGTGTTTGGAAAGCATTTTCTACATCATTGTTGTCATGCCTAGATAATCTCTAAGCAAAACCTTCGAGAGAACCAATCAATTCTTCAACACTTAAAGTTGACAAATCCTTAGTCTCCTCTATGATTGAAACTATGTTGTCATACTTTCTTGGCAAGCTAATTAGATACTTCTGAACTATTCTCTCATCAAACAAGATTTCACCATAGCTTTTCATTTGATTAATAATCTCAGACAATCTACTCTGGTAATCATCTAGCAATTCATCATCTTTCATTCTTATATACTCAAAATCTCTTCTCAAAGATTTGAGTTTGATAGCCCTTACCTTAGTAGAGTCTCTGTAGACTTTCTCCAGCACATCCCAAGCTGATTTGGCACTTGTCTCATTTGAGATTATCGGAAAATTTTCATCAGAGATAGCATTTTGGATACCCCCAAGAGCTTTTGCATCTCTCTTGATGTTTTCCTTCAGCTTCCTTGTTTGAGTCTCTGTCAAAACCACAGTACTTAGAGGTACAACATAGTCATCTTCAATCAAGCTCCACAAATCATGAGATACAAAAATTGTTCTCAACTTTGTCCTCCAGAAGTCGTAGTTAACTCCACTGAAGATAGGAGTTTGAATCTCACCACTGCTACTTGAACCAGCCATGAATTTGAAAAATTTTGATTCTAGGGTTTCACTTAGAATTTCCCCCCTTTTTGAGAATCAAAAAACGCCCCACTCTTTGATCATATTGGCTCTGATACCATGTTGGTATTTAGACAATCTTTCATCATTAATAAAACTTGAATAAAATGATAAAGATTGAAAATCAAAGAAACAGAGTGCAAAGAGCTTTGGAAACAGAGGTTGATGCTTTTTATAAAAACAGAGATCTGATCTTTTCATTTAGATATTTCTGATATATATGGCTTAATACATAAGCCGACTGAAGTAATTGGGTCGACTGATAAAAAGAATGGGTCGACTGATAAAGGCAACAATTAGCCCTTTTACACAGAATTGAGTCGACTGAAAAACATTACAAATTACATGAAAGGACATCAAAAATTAGATAGCAAACAGAAGCAAAGGATTAACTTTAACAAGTAGGAGTCTCTCTGGGAAGACATTGTAACTTTATATTTTTGGTGAAGCGTGACACTACTGCACTGCTAGTTTGAGGTTCAAACTTGGGTGTGACATCTTGAGTAGGGTGACCCTCACTACTGCCACAAGTAGCATAATCTAAACCGCTTGGGTTGGCCAATGGGTTGAAGTCCAACCAGCGCCGAACCACCCTATGCCCACCCTTATTTCCTAGATAGCAAATAGTGTAGCCTGAGCTCCCAGATTATGAGCCAGTATATAAATGTTGCACAACAGGCGGAACGAGGGGATTGTCCTTTTATGGAATGCTTCACTTGAAAACAAGGCTTGATCAAACTCATTAAGTTCTTCAGCAAAGGTATAAGAACATTACTTCTGAAAACTGCAACATTGAGTGTAATGTTACCATTTGAGATATATTTCTGATTCAGGCATTGGAGAGTGGTCCACCGGCAGCCGTCGTCACCACTTAAAGGTAACCTCTGGCCCTCGTGCGGGCACTTAAAGAGAAAGAAGACAACTTTGGTGAGTCCAAAGTAGCTCTGGCATTTGCTTGCTCAACTTGTTAAACTAACACGAAAATAACAGAGTTCAAGTCAATCCACTAATGAGTTAGGTGGTTATCCAGTCAATTGTTAAGGAAATATAATAAAATTAGAATTTAATTTTAAAACATATTTAAATATTTAATTTTAAATAAAAACTAGTAATGTAATTAAGTTTATAATTTTATTCTATTTCTATATTTATTGTATATTACAATCTTATAATATATAATTAATAATAATATTTATTATATATTATTTGAAATACTAAAATGCATCAATCCGCAATATTAGTACCCGCTCTCCAATCCAATTGGTTAGTGATGCACGTAAGTATGATGATATTGATCTATATTTTGTATGAAAAAGGTCCTCACATGTTTGTCCAATCTACTTCAAAGTAGGGAGAAAAATACGCTAACAAAATGTTGGGTAATGTGTCTCAATGGTCTATTTTTGTTAGTGGTGCAACTTGGGCGGGTTGGGTGGGTTGGAAGGTCAACCCAATCCTAACCCAACTTTTACAATTCGGGTTGGGTTTCATTCAGGTTCATTGTAGCTCAGGTTTAATTGGGTTCGGGTTGCCCAACTTTTTCGAGTTTAATCATGAAACAACTCAGTTTTCAAGAATTCCTAAAAAAATTAGCCACGTAACATCAAAGCTAGTTAACTTTAATTTCATAAATCAATCAAAGTTGCTGAGGAATTGCTTTAAGACACAAAGAATTTAAGTTTTGGAGACTAACAATCTACTATAAAGCTTTAGGATTTAGAGACTACGAATATGAGCTGACTAACCAAAGCCTCTTATTCCCTAAAAGCTTAAGTAATTATAAATGATAATTTATTAAAAAAAGTATTAGAAATGGCGTTGGTTTTTGGACTTAGCCCACTTGAGTGTAGTATGAGAATTAATTAATATGGGTTACAATCTGGTTAGATTGTGTTTAGTTAATCGGATTGGGTTGGGTTGGGGATAGATGAGCAAATGATCAATCCAACTCAACCCAATCAATGAACGGGGTTGTAATTGAGTTGGGTTCGGACGGGTTATAACTAAAAAAAAACTCACTTGTTTGGGTTTAAGGTCGGGTTAGACATGAATGAGTTCGAATTGGCCCAACCCAAATTTCACCTTAATTTTTGTACAAGACCAATTGACGTGACATATCAGATAACATTTCGTATTGTCTGCAAATAAATGAGTTTTATAGGATGCCCAATTGTAAACAAATGAATTGTTGCTATATCATTAGGACATGAGTAGTCCCAAAGAACATAGTCTCGTTTGGAGTTCTATGACGAAGAAAAGATAATTCACTATATTAAAGAAATAGAAGAATAATTTATGTCCAACTTGAAAAATGAAAATGAGTTACTCATTAAGAAATCATATATATTACAAATCTCTCTCTTTAAAAAAATAGTAGGATAAGTAGACATAAGTTTTTCATGTCTAATCCTCTCTCAAAGAGAAATCATCCATCACTCTCTTCAATATATCTTGAGTTTTACAAGTTGTCAAATCCATTTAAATCCTAAGCAACAAAGGAGCGCTATTTGGATATCAAAGTTTTTGCTCACCAAACACAAAAACAAAACATTGAAATGTTGAAGTAGCCAAAAGACCGAGATGTTTATCACATACAACCAAACTCGTGACTTGGAAGGTGCAGTGCTCAAACATGTGATGCCCTGAACCAATTAACAAGGATCTTGTGGATGCCCTTAGTGTGTGTGTGTGTGTGAGAGAGAGAGAGAGAGAGAGAGAGAGAGAGAGAGAGAGAGAGTCACGACTCATGATCAATCATGACTCTAACATTAGAGTGGGTGAGGGAGAATGGAAATATTTATTTGAGGTTTGGCAAATTGGCAACGGCATGCGTTTAAACATCTGCAATAATGTCAACTGCCAAGGCCGGTGGCACACACACAAAAAGCTTGGCAGCCCATCATGAATGAATGTACATGGACGTTGCCCTTGCTGCCCCTTCAAGCTAAGAAACCTCCACGCCATGCTTATGGTAGCCTCCTTCCATTACTTAGCTCCTTTTACACCCTACATTCCACCAAATTGCTTTTCTGTTTCATTGCCATCAATTACATTTGAAACAGTGCATAAATCACATCCATGCTTGTTTGCAATGCATATATTAATTGTACTTGTAAGGTACTACAAGACCACTTTAAATTTGATTTTCTATAATGATAATTAAACAAGACTTGTGACTTTTTGTAGCTTGAGTGGTTATGTATTCTTAATCTAACACTCGAGATTTTATGTTCAACTCCACCGTCTAGAGTATTTCAATGGAGAAATGAAAATCTGAGATGTAAAAGCTATATTTACATCTCATTTAAGATTTGTGGGAGATGTAAATATAAGTTTTATTCAATGTAAATTTGGAATTTTATTTACTTCAATATCTTTAAATGGCAAGGCCGAACTCCTAAAGATGTAAGAAGAAAGACGTAATTTACACGTTTCAACTAAAATATGTATTTTACATCCGTTCAAAGACATTTTCATCTCTCATTTGAGCTACAAAGGGAATACTTGGGGGAGCCAAAACAAAAAGGGTAGTGATATTTACACACTTCTTTTTATTACCTCCCACACATTGTTGTTAATTTGTGTCGATTTTCTTCAATTCATTCGAACTAACAGCCGAAAATTATGAGCGGAGTGTGGATAGCACCACCCTATAGATCTTAGTTAAAGAGATGGGGTCAAAAAGTGGTTTGCTCGTGATAACCATGAATTTAATTAGTATGTTTATGAGAGGTTTTTCAGTGTGACCGGTACACGGGGTGGTACACCATGTGCCACTAAAAAAATGGTAGGATATGTGTGCTAAAAGGTTAATAACTTAAAAAATAAAATTTCCCACCATTACTATTAAAACACGTAGTGTACCACTTGTGTTCCAGTCACAACTAAAAATTTCTCGTATGCTTACATGGGTGTGAAAACCTATGAATTAAGGAGTAATTAAGGACATAGTGGTTCTTAGAAGATTAAGAATTAAGGCACTCAAGTACAGCAAAAGCATGATTAAGAGAAACTAAAGTATTGAAGATATTAAGGTTGTGAACAAATTAAATGACAATCATACCCTGCACAACCTCTTCAAGGACCGGCACGCACCGTCCCTATGATACAATGCTTCGTAAAAAATGCAACAAAATTAACCTTTAAAGGGTATTTCTGGAAATTTAGACATTCTTATTAGGGTTCGGGGAGATCAGTACAGTACACCACCATCATTCTGTTCCCTCCTCGACCTCTTCTCCATCACCAAAATTCTAGTCCAAGCGAAGCGACAACCACTCCCTCCTCGGACCTTATAAAAGCCACACTAATGCACCCAAAAGTTTCATACGAAAAGACTAACTACTACTACATACATTAGCAAGAGAGAAAAAATGGCTTATAGGGTTTCTATCTTTCTCTTCTTCGCTTCTCTGACGTTTCTCTCCGTTGCTTTTGCCGAGGAAAGAGCCCCCCACGGCCTTGCCAAAGAAAACCCGACGGCGTTTTCACCTTCAGCATACAATTTTTTCCATCCAACGTCCCAAAACCCCAATGCCAAAGACCCATGTGTTGAATCCAATTGCTCACCATTGCCTGTGGCAGCTCAAGTACGATCAACAGAAGCACACGAGAGCAGATTCTCTACATCACAGAATGGGCGAGCGAGATTCGGAGCTGGTGGGGTTGCTGGCATTATGTTCGGTTTAGCATTTGCAGTCTTTATGGCAATGGGCGTTTACTATGTGCTTGTCACACGCAGAGCAAATATGAGTCGAACCAACACGGTAAAACCCGATGTATGAAGTTCTCTTCTCACTGCATGAAGCTTCATGGCACGACCAAGCTATCTACAACCCTAATTGGATCTCTCTATGATCTATCCTTCATTTCATTGTACTAAAACCAGATTATGTAGTGTGTATCTATAATTAATTAGTGATCAGTGCACGGTATCTGCGAGTTAAACATATTACTTAATGGCAATTAAGTTTGTTCACCTTCAGCATTCAAGCAAAACTGAGAAACCAAATGATTACCAAGCAATCTACATTGAGAGCAGTCAAAGATAGAAAATGGAGGTCCCATGTTAACAAGTTAAATAGCAAGTAACCCACAAGAATGAAGGTAAAAACAAAAAAAGGTTTCATGATTTTGTCCTACGATTTCTAAAAACGTCAACATCGACAGTGGTGGAGCCAGAATTTTAGCCTAGGAGGGGTCCAAATGTCTCAATTTGAAAAACGCTCTCCTAATCTTACAAAAATTACTCTGTTGTGTGATGAGCAACTGATGAACGTCGTTTGGGTATGGTATGGTGTTGTCCTCATCATCATCTTCCTTAAACTTAAACCCCAAGCCTCTCTAACTTTCTTCCTCTCTCCCTCCACTGATTCTCAGACCAAAGGCCTCCTCAAAGCTCACAAGAAAAGGATTGCTTGAACCCCATAGGAGCAACAAACCTCAAATCAAACTCAATGAAAGAAATTAAGGTAAAAACATTAGATTGGGGCTCTAAGCTTACGATAAACCTTGAAAATCATATGCATAACACTAAGCTTTTATGCGTGAAAAATCTCAGGATGGGCCTATGACCATCTTAGTCCTTTCATGACTCCGCCTTTGAACATCGAACTCGTATCATAACCAGTGTTCTAAAATCCCCACCTAGCGCCACTTTGAGATAAGAATCCGCAAATGATCGTGTCATTTTTCAAATGGATGAAGGGCATTCCTAAAGTAAACCAAAAGTGTCACAAACAGCTGAAAGGAAACTCACTATTTGGTGGTGTTTGTAGTAACAACCATAAAGCTAGATATACGTTCAGTTATGGATTAACTTCCAATGGTCGCAATGGAAGAAAAGATCCAGATGGATTGGTTTGACAACCAGGGCCAGAACATTCGGGTCCCATTCTCTCGTTTTATCTTTGGTAAATCTTGAATTGTCACGAAGGTCATGAACCATCAAGAAAAAGACATATTCACTGATGTAAATTAAAAAAAAATATAATAAAGTTTACCGGCAAAATTATTATGCCTTTAAAATGATGGTTACGATGCATTCGCTCCTGGTTTGCTCAAAATATGTAAAAAAATACAATGCGGGCAAGTTTAGCTCAGCATATATAAATGTCACGCAAATAGAACTCCATACGGGGTGCAGTGCAGCAATTCAAACCTATCTACCATCCAGATGAACTAAGAGATTCAATCACAGGTCGAAATGTCTGGTCCACAGCTTTGTTCCAAAGATGTGCAAGCTCTGCACGAGTTTTCCTTCCAAATATGGGCTCTGTAATCTGCAGAGTTTTGAAAGCCGAAATTATTAGAATTCAAGCAAAGCAAGCTAGGAACTCAATAAATCACGAAATATTTCAATCTATGTCACGCATGCTTAATGGTAAGTTCAGTTAATAGTTTCCAGCTACATGATAAGTTTGATGGAGATGATCTAAGAAAGAAGCCAAACACACAAAGTGCACACATGTCCATAACATAAAGGCATAAATCCAAAGTTTGCGACCTGACTTGAAAAGTGCACACAGAGTGCCCAGCCAAAAAGGATTCTACACTCAACTTACCTATTCTTCGACTTTCATGAACCAAGAGTTTTATCCTTCACCAACTTCTGTTACATGAGCAATAGCTGCATCAAAGAAATTTAAGCGAAAATTAACCTACTCCAACTCCAGTTTTCCTCCCCCAAACCCACCTTATTAAATGTTTAGGACTCGACAGTTCTTCCTACAATATCATTAGCAAAAACAACAACAAAGCCTTTTCCCACTAAGTGGGGTCGGCTATTACAATATCATTAGCAAATGGAAAAATTTAGATCCAGACCAAAAAATTGCCAGTATATAGTTTACAAGAAAGAACGAGGATCAACTTTGGATTTTGCGTAATAGTTGTTCCTATAATTAGTGATGAACAATGATAGTTGACCATGAATAATTTCAAGAAAGTAATAACTCTTTTTCTTATATTAATGAATATTCCGTCACATCATTAATAGGTCATGTATAAACTAGATTAGACCCATCTCATCGATCCTATATTACAACACAATACTCACGAGTCCCGAAACGATAATGCTTTCTATACAAACTCAAGAGAATTGTTATATTGGTTGGGACACACCACATTTCTATTTATCCCATTGCCAAAAGGTTGTTCCTCTTTTCTGAGAAGATGCTACTTTGTTTTTGGTATTGCTGAATATCAAATGTCCTATGAGGAACAAACATTTCTACCAAACAACCATTAGAACCGTAAATTGTTACAAATTGTATGCAAGTGTTTCCACCCCACGCCTTAGCTATTCCACTCCTCTAACTTTCTTTTTTGGGATGTAGCTTAAATGAAATAGATGCATATGCCTATACACCTACCTATGATTATAATTGTACGTCATCAAAGTCAAAGATTTTCATATCAACAAGCTTCGAGGAGAAAGCAAAGACAGAAAACCCATATAATTACTCGCCAAAACGAATAAGAACAAATATCCATCCCCTGATTTTCCCTACCATTTCATTCCCCAGATAACCGTGATCATCACCAATTCAGTTCTACATTGTTATAGACCTCATTGGGTAAAATTTGTTGAGTTTATCGAATCCACAGCGGTACTTCGAGGTGGTCATGTACAGAAAATGATTATCATAGATAAATATAATAAAATCAAATAAAAAATCAAACATTTTCCACAACAAACGATCCAATTATACTGATTTTAAGCAATCCTAATCCTAGCCATAACCTCATTATCTGGTAAATACGACCAATTGGGAAAAGTTACAAACCAACAAGATTAAGACTTTACCCACTAAAGCTAGGGTTTTCAGTCGCCACAAACGACGCCGTAACACCAACAGTTAAACAAGCAAATTGGTAATTACCCGGGAAACTGGTTGAGGTTTGGTGCCGGAAATGGAGTTGTAGATGCATCGGCGCTGCTCGAACACAACGATCCCCGTGAAAATGCTTCCGAGTGCAGCGCCCAGCAGACGCTCCTGCATTTTTCAAATTTTGTTCATACGAGAAAATCACGAATCGAAACAAAAAGGTTTGAATTTGTAATTTCGATTGAAGACTACCTGAGCAAGAACGCTAATCATGGCGGATGTGCGTATGGAATTTGGGGCTGTTCGATTTGATTTATGTGCAGATGGAGGAGAACAATGGGTAGCTGATTTTGTTCGGCTCGCGCGACAGGGGAGAGGACTTGATTTGGGCTGGGTTTAAATTTATGAACTCCAGGCCCAACCCAAAAGAGATTAACATGGGCAGGCCCAGTATAATGCATACATGGGTTCTAACCCGTTACCCTAACTGAATCCGGTTAAGAATATCAACCCGTATAAGACGGGTTGTGAGAGGATGGGTTGAGCTCGGGTTCACGAATTGTCTGACTCGGTCAATTTCGAGCAATCCCAACTTGTGACATATGTTATGGATTGGTCATAGAAAACTTCATCGGCACACTCTTTTCATTCGCGTTCTTAGTTGTCCTTGGAGTGTTAAAAACCCTTTCAGATAAATAAAATAGTTGGAATTTCATTTTAAAACCAATTTCGACGAGCAAAACTAGTTAAACTCTTTATAAATGTACCGAAAGTTTATCTCCAATGGAAATGTTACATTAAAATGTCAAATTTTATTTTTTTATAGCTGATATGGCAAAATAACATTTTGTAAAGTTTCATATTCCAACTAAGATGTCGAATAAAAATGTTTTTTTGGTTATTTATAAAATCAAGTGAGTCAGAATTTAATAATAAAATAATCAATAAGTGAATAAAGAATAAATGTATGGGCTCATCATTAAAATAAAACAAATTTTTTTTTGACGTTACCTTCAAATTTGGCAGTAAAGTGGAGAATGTCAATCTATGTGAAATTTTGGTATCTTCTTTGGAACCAGAAAATCACACTTTTGTCAAAACACGTTTGACAATCTTTATTAAAGATGCTGTAATAAGACATTATTTATTCTCACACTATTAACTACAAATCTTCCCAATAAATATTCGAGGTTGGGTTGGGTTGGTACCTAGTACACACCAAGGCTATTGAAACAAAGCTTGGATGCTATTTTGGTGTAATTGACACAAACATTGCAACTTTTAAGGAATTAAACTTGTTCCCTTAAATGTAAATCATAAATATCAAAACAACAAAAAAGACATAGCCTTTGAGAAATCCTCCAACAAATTCATTCCCAAATTACATTATTTAGTTTCAACCTCAAATCACAAGAATTACTGTCTGTTTCGGGTTGATTATTTGGGACAATTTTTTATTTTTCAAAAAAGTTTTAATTATTAGGCTATTTGGTAAAGTTGTTGAATGAGAAAGTTGCGGTGTGAGAAAGTTAATTTAAAGCTAAATTTCAAAAGCACCTAGAAAACCTAAGATTTTACTTTCATCTTGGTTTTTGAGCAAGCCAAATTGAGAAGATGCGGAAGATATAAAATGAATTTTTTGAACTACCAAATTAAAGATTTGCAACTCAAATAGTTAAAAATGTTAATATCCTCCCAATAAGGCTTGCATGAAGGAAGAAAAGGACTAGGTCACAAGAGTGCTTCTTTTATTTTATTTTATTTCCATAAAAACCAACTTTTCAAAACAAGGATAGAGATTAGAGTCCCCTCTGCCAACGCTCGGCAGACAAAGGATATAAAGGAGAGAATAGTATTAGGAGGGAAAGCGTTATGCATGTGTGTCCCCTCTGCCAACGCTCGGCAGCACAGCAACCCAGTGTCATGTGACTGTCGCTGGTTGTGGGACCTTTTGGACTTCATGAACCGCAGGATTATGCAGGACCAGTCCGAGTCCGACAACGACTTGGTACCCAAAAACCCTCCTTCCTCGTAAACTCACTAGTACATGTATTATGTAGACCCGTAGATAAGCCCTTTCTGTACAAACACAGACAATAACACATGAGAATGTACTATGATACTCCGGAGTATCAGATCACCGTAGAAAATTCCGGTTAAACAAAAAATCTTTACGGTCTAGATGTTGAATTCCATAATAGCTTGGGTTGGAAGTTAGAAGTTGGAACTTGGAAGAAGTTATAATCTGGTTACACAACTACCTCAAATTTATGAGAGAAACTTTATTACATGCAACTGGTGGCATTACTCATGAGTAATTGGTGTGGGTTTGGGCATGCAAGTTATTCTCCAAATCAAAAAGTAAAGTTTGTTGTTTTACCACTTTAGTAGTACAGTTTAGTGATATTCATCTTGACTTGTAAGTGAGAGTTCGTAGGTTCGATTCTCGCTAAAGGCAAATTTAAACTAAATTATTGCTAGCTTATTGTGAGGCTAAGTTCACTTCCTCTCCCTTAGTGTAGATAATATCGATTGTTAAAAAAAAAAAAGTCTGTTGCTTGGCAAAGAATACAATCTCAAATTTGTTCTTACTTTGGAAAGAGAAAATTCATCAAAAAATTAGATCATTGTAATCGTTGTCTATACTCTATACACATGTGAAACTGTTAGCCATTAATGTATTGTGAGATTAGATTGTATCAACGGATGAAATTCCACTCTTATTTAAGTAAGTGTCCCAACACATCTTCTCATTGACTGAATTGTACTAATATCATGTAGACTCAAATACCCTATATAATAAATGTAATGGCATATGAAAAAGTACACACAACATGCTCAGTTTCTACGTAAGTTGACAAACACTTAAAAACTAAAACCTCTTATGAATCTATATAAGAGTTGTGCAAGTAATATTTGTTCATACGTATATAAATGACTGTCAACCGTTGATACATTGTGATACTAGTTTGAATTAATAGTTAAAATCTCACATAATAACTGTCCAAATCATTTATAATTCTCTATAAAGCAACACAAACAATGATTTGAATTTCTTAAATTTGAAAAATTAATAATTTAATGCTATATAGTTATCTGAGACGGTCAACAAATGTGAAAGAGGCCCAAAAACAAAGAGGGGTTTTGAAGAACAACTGTTAATATGTCATAGCATAGGAACATCCGGACCTACTTGGAACATGTCTTGTGTGTCATATCATTCATTATGTCTGTGTTTAGCTGCTTTTCTGGGAGAAGAAGTCTTTGTTTCCAATGTAAACCTGCACAAGGGACCTCAACAAACTCAAAATACAAGAATTCTCCGGTAAGCTGAAGCCTTCTATGGCAGCAACAAAATAAGCTGTTTTTTCCATAATCTATGAATCTCTTCAGCTCCATTTTTGCAGGGCATGTCAGCTTTTTTTTTTTGTCCCTCTCTCTCCGTCTCTCTAGACTATATATATGTGTGTGTATATATATATATAGTTATTTTATTTTCCTTGACATGTAGAAGAAGAAAAAAAAAGTTTGGTAAAGATTGTCACAGAAAACATGTTCTAACATTGAAGGGAAGGTCCATTTAGTCACCCTTTAGCTTTGTGTTGAATAACTTTTTCTGCATATCAGGACTGGTTTTACACTGTTCTTGTGAAACAATCAAAAACCCAAAAATCTGCAAAGATTTGGAAATTTGGGGTCTCATTACTTTAGCGAGAATCCTAAGAATTTTCTGAACAGCAGAAGTAAAAGCCCTGTCAGAAAAAAGCTGTTTTTTTTTTTCGTAAGGTGAAAAGTGAAAAACCCGAGGGAAAAGCACAGCACTTTCTTATCAATTATCATCATCATTCACTATCTGGGTTCTGGGACTTGAACATTTCCCAAGTTTTGAACTGTTTCATGTGGATGTTTCTGCGATTCCCATGGGAATCTCTTGGGATGTGGGGTTTTTGTGATTTTGTTTGCCAAGTGTGAATGCTATGTTGGGATTTTAGCCGTTGTACAAGAAACACAGCAAATGGTCCCACAAAAGACAAGACAGCCTGTTCTGTCGGTCTTTCAGGGTTCTTCGAGTCTCGAGAATCTGGATTGGGTGGCTGATTAGGGTTTTGTTTGGTTTAAAATTTGCAGGGTGGTTTGTTTTTGGGGGGGGGATTTTCAAATGGGTTGAGGCTTATTGACAATGCGCTTGTTCTGGTGGCAACAGCTGCCTCTGCTTCTTCTCATCCAGATTTTGGAACCCAGCAGAACAAGCTACAAAATTTATGGTACTTTTTCTCTCACTTTGCTTCCTCTTTTTTATTCGAGCGATATTTTAATCTAATCTAAACTGCCAGAAACGGGATTCGAGCTTGAGTCGGAGTAGGAGCATATTGCTCTATCCAATTTTGTTATTGCCTCGTCTTCTTGTGCATATTATTTGAATGAAATGGATGAAATCATTTTCTCTCATCCAGATTCTGCAGTAAGAACTAAAAGCAATCATTTTTCCTACTGTTATTTGACTCATAGGATGAAATCATATGTTTAAGTTGCTGCTTCCAATATGTACTCGGTGTTTAGAATTGTTTTGGATATCGGAATTCCCTTGTAAACTGCTATGCTGCAACTTCTTGTTCATGTCCGAAATGGTTTGGCTAGGCATGCGATTGACGCAAAATGTGCATGATGTTTAGGCTGTCATATTCTTACTTCTTGTTGGTTTTGAGTAATATGCTTTGCATAATCTTCATTGCGATTCGCATTTGGAAGAATGCTGATTTCTTATTCTTTTTTCCCTCTCTGAAATATATAGCTGAAGCTGTACTAAGTTTTAAGAGAGGAGGTGGAAGTCCTCAACTGTTTGATGGTCGAACTGGAAGATGTCCTTGTCCAAGACAATGGAAAATTGTCAACTGTCACAAACTGAAGGACCCTTGCATTTATCCTCTGTAAGATCTCTCTCTCTCTCTCTCTCTCTCTCTCTCTCTCTAGCAGTGCAGTCTGTAATATGTAGAAGTTAACAGTATATGATGATTCATTAAAAAATTCAGGGTAGAACAATTATTGCCTTCATAGCATTAATATAAGACGTAAGCGAACAAATTGATTACCGCCAGGAAGCTGACTACAAATTAAAGTCTCGTAGTAATGCATATCAGTACTTATGTTGAACATATCCTGAATTTTATAGTCTACTAGCCAAAAAGTTAATCCCCAGTTTGTAACAACATGCTAGTTTTACAAATCGGCTCCTTGGGGACCTGTATATTTGATGTTCTATGGGTGTTACTTTAAGAATCCAAGTTGGTATAAAATCGTGTTCAACTAGTTACATAAAACACATTGTGTGGAAGCCCCATTCAATTTTTGTTTTACGATACTACCAATGTAACTTAGGAGACAAAGTCTGGTTTTTGTACTGAAGAGCTTTATGAAGACTGCCACAAAGTCTAAAATAATTTTATTATGGTTAAGGGAACTATACTCTTGAGCTTTGACGCATATTGCAAGTACCTTAGATTCTAAATAATGTTTTGTTCACAGTTTCGTCTTTTGATCATATTTCTGTAATCATGTAAGAAGTATGTTAGATGTTATGCTTCAACAGGTTTTCTGGTATCTGTTCAGTTTCTTTGCGGACTAACGCAGTCAGTTTGCCACCTTTTGCTCCAAGACTTTTCGTTACGCACCCTTCAATTCAACTACGAAAAGAGCACCATAAACCAAGAAGCAGGAGGATAGAAGCCATAGTTGATGGGGATAACGTTACTCCAACACTCACACCCGTGGAAGAAGTTCGTGGTAACCATTCATCAAAACGGAAAGTTGCAGCAATTACCGGTGGAGTTGTTGCCACTCTGCTTGTGATTATCATAGTGATGCTCGTTTACATCTGCTTGATGCGTGTAAAAAGATTAACTAGGCGAACATCTGAGACAGCGTCATCTCCACCATCACCCACTGGTAAGATAGCTCATAACCATTTGAGGAATTTTCAGGCCCTGAAAGTATGTAAAATGACTCAAATGAGGAAAACATCTAACTGCATTGATCATTAGCCAAAGAATTCCGTGGATTCCTTGCATCGCATATGCCTTCACTTCAGCCTTCCAGGCAGTTTATTGAAAGGGGCATGACATAAAACATGTGAAATACCAGTTGCCATCCGTATTCTTGTTAAGTCAAATGATGAACAATACAATTTTATACTGTTTCGAAGGCTTCAAATTGAAGCAGCACTGGGGTAAGTAATGAGTTTCTGGCCACACACACCCACTTTGGTACAATACGGAAATGCCTTTCTCAAATTGGGGTTTCCCAAACAGGTCCTCAAGATAAATCAACTTGCTTCTTCTACGAAAGGGAGCAAAACATCCATGTGTTTTGATTATTTGTATTTACCACTTTGCATTCTAATTAACCAAAAAAAACAAAAAAGGTGGAATCTTCCTAGCTAGATGGTCCAAAGTTGGCATTATGCGGTGCGTCTTGTAGAATTCAGTTCCAGTGTACGTCACTTCTGCCTCTCTGCATAAAAGTACTCTCTATCGTTGATGATGTCTTAAAAAGATTACAGATGTAACAGTAGGATGTGACTGAAAATGATGCAAAGTTTGTTTCATGCTTGATTGATAATGTTGTACAAAATATTAATTGGTGTTTTATCTGTTAAAATTTGGTTTGGCTCACTGCGGTAAGTTTGGTGAATTGGTTTCTTCTTTGATTTCTTTCAGTTCAGTGGGAAAGAGGGGACACATCTCCCTACGCCGTTGCTCATTCTCCATACAGTGCACCAAACTTGAGGCAACTCACAATATTGGAATTGGAGCAAGCGACGCGCAATTTCAATGAAATTAATATCATAGGCCAAGGTAGATTTGGTTTGGTCTACAAGGGATTGCTCCAAGATGGAACTATTGTGGCTATCAAGAGACGCCTACATGCCCCAACTCAGTATTTCTTTCATGAGGTACACAAGTGCCGATTCATATTTCTTATCTAGTAAACCATGACTTTCTTAGAGAGGTAGTGCGTAGAAAATGATTTGGTAGTAACTTCTGAGTATTCTGACTTCTCTTGATGTGATACAGGTGAAGCACGTAGCTCGTGTCAACCACGTGCATATTCTTAGGCTTATTGGTTATTGTCAAGATGCTACTCAACAGTTACTTGTATATGACTATCTTCCAAATGGAAATGTTGGGAATCATCTATATGGTACTCTCTCTCTCTCTCTCTCTCGTTCTCTCTCTTCCCCTCTTTAACAACATAATTATGCAGATGCTGAAGGTTTACCTATTGGAAAGTTGGGCATAAAGCACAGGCTATCGATTGCTTTGGGAGCAGCCAAAGGTACATCACCTGCTTCAAGTTCTTGTGCAAGTCTTTCTCTTTTGCATTAAATAATTGAACTTCCTCTTTTGGTTATTTTGCACAAAAGGACTTGCGCACCTTCACAGTTTGGTGCCTCCTCTTCTGCACATGCATTTTGGTACAAGCAATGTTCTACTGGATGAAAGCTTTACTGCCAAGGTGTCTGATTATGGACTAACCAAATTGCTAGTGGGTCATCATGCTGGCTCATCTTCAGCCGTAGATTGCTTTCGTGACCCAGAGTATGTAATCTATCCTCAAAATGCTAAGTCTATGCTAGATTGTAGGATGCGGATAGCACCTCTTTGTGCCTGTAATGCTATTTGTCACTAATGATCAAGATTGCTTGATGTGCAAGAATTGCCTGCGTGGAATATAAGAGTAAGTTTCCTCCTCCACCAACTTATTGACCAAAGATTCCTTGGTCAATTCGTTGCAGGTCATTTTCGCACGTTATGCAATCTAGATTGGTGAAAACAGTCTAACACTAAACAGTACCATTGATTGTGTCAGAGTTCTATAATCAGTTGAGTGCCAAACTATCAAGATTAGAAGTTGATTGTATTACGGTATGATTTAACTTTCTTCTAGTACTACATTGAGCAGCTAGTAACAGTCTGCTTCTGAGTGCTTCATCAAGTTATGCCTCTAGTTCTTATAGTGGAAGTTGCTTCTAATTTTAAGTTGACTAATTCGATTTAAGAAAAAACCTACAGATCTCCTTCATTATAGAACTACGGTAGTTCTGTTTAGACTGAATTTGTCGATGATGTCTAATCTAATCTACTCCTTATTTTTCATAAAGGTTGGATTCATCAAAGAAGTTTTCAGAGATAAGTGACGTGTACAGTTTCGGGGTCTTCTTACTGGAATTGATCAGTGGACGTGAAGCAAATGCAAGAAACCAGTTGAACTCGGGGGATAATTTAATATTGCAGGTGGTTATCTCTATCTTTCCCTAATGCTAACTTCTTATTCCCCCAGTCTTTACCTTTTAGGTATAGGCCATCAGGAACTTGTCTGTTTTTTTTTCATGCACTGCAGAAAGACTTAACGCGTTTAATGCCAAACGCCTCCCCATCTACACTCTTGCACTCCACACGTCTTTATGTGGATGGACACTTCACTTCTCTAAGGCAAGCAAAATGATAGCTGAAGCTCTCTCTAATTTGATGTACATTCTCAAGATTCCAGAGTAGCTTGCAGGTTGTTCTTATCCTTTTCGGATCAGATCAAGTGACATAATTGGAGAGCTTTTAAAGAAAGAATGAAGGTTTTAGAGAGTGTGTGAGAGATGTAGTAGAGAGAAAATCCTAGAACCTCCTGAACGAAGGAGATCAAAAGTTTGTGGAGAGGGAGAATGAGTCGTCGGTTCTGAACAACACATTCACTCTAGCATTTACAAGATCATGGCTCGCTTTAGGTTATGAGTTATATATGTTGGACATGCTTTCATCGTTATATATGCATTTATGCGTAGGTGTGAAACTTCACTGACTATTCGTACTTGCAACCTTGTCATACAAAGAAGTTACCTTTTTGTTCGTTCTTAAGATCTGCTTATGTGACATAACTGTAGACAAAAAGAGAAAGCAACAAGGCAAGGTGCAGCCTATATAGTTATCGTTTCAACCCTTTCATTCCTTATCAAGTTCCGTTTGCTTTTGTAGGCGAAGGATTGCAAGGATTTGGACAGATTTGTTGATGAAACATTAGGTGGCATGTCAAGGCAAACTGCAAAACAGATGATGGAGCTGGCATTGATGTGTATAGATGGGAGCGAACGAAGGCCGCAGATGCAGATTGTTGTGGAGGAGCTAGAACGAATTCGTCGAGGGAGAGAAAGTAACCATTTTCATATAGAAGTTGATGAGGAGATAGGTGCTGTGACTCTTGGGAGTGAGCTTTTCAAATGAGTTCCTTGTATCAGTGTCTTCTCTTCATTCTTTTATAGATTTGATTGATTTGTAATTAATTACACAAGAAAAATATATGATACTAAAAGCATTGTTGAGTACATGAATCAAATGAAAATAGTAAAAGTTTAAAAGTTCAGGGTTCAATGATAAATTAACAATTCTCTAAAAGCTGTACAGGTCTTCAAGAAAATCACTGGCTTTTGATGTGCAATCTCTGGCACATTTTTTCCGATCCATCGTTTAACAATCAAATAAACAGCTTAACAACTGGAGGTATGACATTGCAATGAATTTATAAAAAGAAACGACCAACAGGAGGGGGTGCAAACTGTAATTTGAGGTACGAGGTTGAAATGGTACCTAAACTTGAGAGTACAAATGTAACTAACTCTAATTTTAAAGTGAAGCAATTTTTTTGGTGAAAATGAAAACAAAACAAAATGGGGTCTAATAAGAACGATTTTAACAAATTGGAACCACTTGAAAAGCTCCATTTACAGTACAAATTACCCAACATACAATTTATGCAAAATTTAACAGACAAAGTAGTAAAATATTATTAGATCAGGAGCTAGTTGGACTATGTCGTCCTGACTCCAAACCTTGAAGAGGTTTCCTATTAGACTATTTTAGATAGCAAAAGCTGCGTTAGAAGTAAAGTAAAGAAACCATTTGTTGAGATCCATTGCTGAATCAATCCTTTGCTTGCTGAATCAATCCTTTGCTTGCTAGCTTTGTGCTGCTTCCATGGCAAGAAATTGAACGTGCAGAGATCATGTAAACATCCACGGAAAAGAATCATCTTCAGATCCCTTCCTTCTAATCCATCAAGTTTGGAAATCTAGACCATTGAAATTTGATCCAACGACTACAAACAGAGGTCCACTTTAAAAATTATAATAACTTTAATCGTTAGATTAAATTTTCATAGCTCAGATCTCTGGACTTGATGGACTAAGAGGAAGGGATCCGGAGAGGACCCCTTTCCAACATCTACAACATAAAATTTGTATTTATTTATATCATGGGGCCGATCCCAACTCCTAGTTGCTTTTCTTATCTCTTTACGCGTCATAAGACTTGCAACTTGCTAGTTGAGGATTGCTAGGATCAGGAAATGTCATTGGGTATTAAGAAGTAGACATGATTAAATTTGTCTAAATTCCTCTTCATCAAGTCATTAAAATACATAAGATGTTCATCATACTTGTTTCCCTACGTAAGAGGGTCTGAAGCTGGAGGGATTTTACGATGTTCTTGAAACTTCAGAATCAGTCGTTAACTATTCAAGCGAAACAAAGCTACCACTCAAATAGTACAAATGCGCTATAACGAGACTAAACAAAATACTTTTAAAAAACATTTTAAGGAGTCGTTTGAATTTTTTTTAAGAAAAACTAATGAGAAGGGCTTGAAAAATATTAGTTTTAATAAAAAATCATGTTATAAGTTTTGTTTAATGATTAGTACAAGACCCATATTAAAGTAGTCTAACTAAAAATGGCATAACTATAATAAATTATGATTTGTCGATTTTACCCCTAACTTTTTAGGTTGAGTTCCAGATTTTCGTCGTTAATGGAGTTCATCGTTGTTTTGCAGACCTTCTTCTTTTTATTTGAAACAAAAATATAGATCCTTATGCTATTTAATTTATATTTTGTTGAAACGAGATCGTCGTTATTATTCATAAAGTATTCAAGGTACTATTTTTCAATTTTTATTCGTTAGTGGAGTTCATCGTTTGTTTCTCTAGAAAATAAATTTGAGATATGCATGTTATTCAATAATAACGACGAGTCACTATTTCTGAACTGTAAAAATAAACTGTTTCTGGATTTTAAGTAAAACTGTTTTTGGAATCTAAGTCACTGTTTCTGGAATCTAAGTCACTGTTTCTGGATCCAAATAAAATAGACACACTGTTTCTTAAATGTAAGTTAGAAAAGAAATAGTGAAATTCATTGTATTTGGATTCAAAGAAAAATAAGCATTATGTTACTTAAATATAATTAACGGATGCATGAAAAAAAAAGAAACAATCAAAGGTTAAAACATAGACTGTTTCTGTAATCTAAGTCACTATTTCTGAAATCTAAGTCACTGTTTATAGAATTTAAGTCACTGTTTCTGGATTTTGATTCTTTTCTTTCCAGATACAATGTTTGTTTGGTTCTTTTCTTTCCAGATACAATGTTTGTTTATGCACAGAAAAAACAAACATTGTATCTGATTTTTTTTTTTCCAAAAACAGTTTTATGTTTTGGTTCTTTTTTTTTTACTATTTACAGACGCCTGACATGTACATACATCACCGATTCATAGGTCCTTATTGGATCTGATTGGAATAAAATACTAACACTATAAATTGTTCGTGGTCTAGATAAGAGGATGAGGATGAGGACAATGACAAGGAAGATGAGAAGAAGGGCACGAAAAAGGTAGACAATAGTTTTGGATGATTTTTTAATTAAATTTTGAGTCCTTTTGGTTAAATAACATTTTAGGATGATTTTTTGTTAAATATTTATTGGCTCAAGCCCTTTTCATTAAAGCTCCCATTTTTTTAAAGAGTATTTGTAACGCCCTTGTCCCGAAATATTTATATATTTCAGAAAATAATTATGGTAGGCCCAACCTAAAAACATAGCTAATTTATTTCAATATTACTTACTATTACAAGCTATACATATACTCTTAAATGTCAAACATACATTTAATTTGACAATTGAAAGCACTATTAATAGTCATCATTCTCCAAACAATTCTCTTCATCCCACATATATTCGATAAAAATATTATTTACCATGATATATAATTTTACTTCCAAATTAGAACTATTTCCTTCTCTTGGATCAAATTCTATCTATATACTAATTCTCGAATATTTAAACACATTTATTTTATGGTTGCATCTAACGTCTCGTTAGACTACCTACGTACCTTCAATAGGGATCAAGCCTTTCGTAGTTCAAAACTTCAAAATTTAAACCAAATCCGAAAATATTCATTTAATCCAACATATACCAAAATCGTATTAATATTCAAACCACAGCAATTTGATCTCAAAAACATAATTAGAATAATGAAATTCACATAAAACACAATTGTCGGCTCCCTGGCCATGCGCCACCGCACCCGTCGCCGCGGGTTGTGGTCGGCCGGCCCGGTTCGCCGAAAATTTCAATTATTTTTAAAAATTCTCAAAAATTAGAGAAATGAAGATCTCAATGAGTAGAGAAACTTTCATACCTGCAACCAAGGCCAATTTTCCCGGGAAACACCTCAAAATGGCCACGAACCGTTGGAAACCCTTGTTTTTGGGTGTTCTTGATTCGTCTCCGAAACAACTCCGACGCCCCAACCAATGAATGGGCTTTGTTCCAGCTCTTAAGGGGAGTCTAATGGTGATATTAATTTGATGGAATCATTTCAGAATTAGGGGAAACAAAGTCACGAGTTCATCGCACCCACCGGTGCGATTTTCCCAAATTCAAGGCCAAATTTCATGAATTTCGAGGTGTAGTAGGAAGAATGAAGGTTATGAAGGGTTTTACAATGGTTAATTTGATGTAATTTGCCGGAAAAATGGCTACTTTCGTTGGACAAGGGAAAGGAAACCCGATCGGGTCGGGTCCGGTCACCCGAGTCGCAGGATCCCCCATTCTCTCATTTCCTCTCCCGGTTCTCTCTCCCCATTGGTCATCCTCTTCTCCCCTCATTTTCTCCTCCCTCCTTTCTCTCCTTTATAATCCATCTCCACCGCCCATCTTTTCTGTCTTTAAATCTCGGCCACACACGTGGCCTTCCAGATTTTCTTCAAAAATCTGGAATTATATTGAACTCAACTATTTTACTAAAATGCCCCTAACTTTAAACATTAATAACTTCTTCGTTCTAACTCCGTTTCACGAACGGTTTGCGCCTACGCGTTCGTGAGGTCGAGCTCTATTGAAAATTATAAATTTTGACCTCGAAAGGTCTACGTATTTTAAATTATTAAGGTCCAAACTTTAAACCTCGTAACTAGTTTAATTTAAAACTACACTTACACATATTATTATAAATTCTTGAAAAATCATATAAAAACTCAATAATACAAATACGTTGATTAATATAATTTCTGGAAACAAAACTTTAAAAGTTCTCGATTTAATTCTTCATAATCATAAATCGATTTATTTTCAATTTTCTCCACATATTCATATATTTAAAATTTTTAGGGTATTACAGTATTATATTTATTAGTGAGAGAGTTTATATTCGATTCTCGCTAAAGACGAATTTAAACTATATTATGCTAGTCCATTGTGAGGCTAAGTCTACTCTCACCATCTCTTAGTTTAGATAATATCGTTATTTGTTTATTTTTTTAAAGTTATCATCTACTTTATGTTATATATTTAGCCCAAAATTTATAAAACTCTAAAGTCCGTGATTTATACACAGGCTAATAGGATTGGTTCTTAAATCATTTAAAACCCCGTTGGAGTCTAATGAATTATAATAGCTGTAAGCATGCAAACTTAAGATTATACTAGCCTTCATGCATGCGCGAGCATACATTTTTTGAATCAGGGCGTGCTACGCGTAACTTACACGTTTAAAATGAATGATATTAGACCATGCTAGAAAAAAAACCTTCATAAACCAATTAAAGAAGCTGAATCTATATAACAAAATCGGTCTTCAATTTCGATCTACATTCTATTGAATTTACATTAAGAATAGAGAAAATAATATTTAACAAACAACCGATTGAATGACATTATTGCGAACCGATTGTGATTTACTAATTATAAAAAAATATAAAATAAAAAACATTGTACAAGAAAAAGTTAAATATTAAAAACAATGTTTATCACTATATAGTAAATAGTTAAATATTAAAAAACACTGTTTGTCACTGTTTATATGATGAAAATACCCCTGCCACATTTGATGCATTATTTTAAGCTGCTTTTGAAGTTTTTTGTTTGAGGGGTATTTCTATCCACTTTTTTTTTGGTGAAGCATGTGACCCAAAAAAAATACTGTTCAAAAGTCTGCCAGCTTCATATATAGATGCAATACAATTTAACGTCTTTAAATTAATAGCCTTGATACTACTTAAATTCTATAAATTTAGCGAGATCAATTTATCGATAAGAGTTTAACTGCTTATATGTATTCAAATTTATAAAGCGAGATACCAAAATTCTTTTAATTTAGTGAGATTTCAATTTTTGCTTAACAATGGTTGGATGAATTCGATTTATGACATTAAGATTTTTTTTTTTTTAGGTTAAATAATAAATTTGTTAGATTATTAAGCTTATAAAATTTAAACTCACGCCGTAATGCAAGAATAACACTTCTCTATGCCACGCAACTTGCGATTTATCACTTGAAGATTCAAAGTACGAGAAAGCGCTCAAGAAAAATTATGTCTCAAGTTACATTTTTTGTCTTTGGTAATTTCTTAAGTTGCTTTCCAATCTATAAAGTGCTTTTGAGTTAATTGCCGGTCAACGTGAAAGATGCTTTAACGCTTTAGAATCAAAACCAGCGGCAACTCCAACGGTAAAGCATTTCTCTTGACGCCTACGAAACGACGTCGTACGAGGCCTTGACTCCGCTTGTCTTCCATCCTTCCTCCACTATCTATAAACCCCTGCTAAAACCGGATCTCACTCTCACTCATTGGATCCCCGAACTCGCTCGATCACTCACTAGCTCAAAAATGGCGAGTCGACTCGTTCTCGCGTTCGCACTCAGCGCTCTCCTCTTCTTCTCCCACTCAGTTTTCTGCAAGGAATCGCACCCCATCGACGACGACGATGAGGATCTCAGCTTCCTCGAGGAGCCCACCGACCACGGCGACGACGCGCCGCACTATCCAGATCCGGATCACTACGACGAGGACAATTACGACGATCTCGAGAACTACTCCGATTTTGACGAGGGCGGCGATCATGAGGACTCGTACAAGGAGCCGGACGTGGACGAGAAGGACGTCGCCGTTTTGAAGGCGGCGAATTTCAGCGATGTGGTGGAGAAGAACAGGTTCGTCATGGTCGAGTTCTACGCGCCGTGGTGCGGACACTGCCAGGCCTTGAAACCGGAGTACGCGGCGGCAGCTACCGAGCTCAAGGGGGAAGATGTAATTTTGGCCAAGGTCGACGCGACGGAGGAGAACGAGCTGTCGCAGGAGTACGGCATCGAGGGTTTCCCGACTATCTTCTTCTTCATTGATGGCGTTCACAAGCCTTACGCAGGCCAAAGGACCAAGTGAGTTTCTTTTTTGGTTAATTTGATAGAATTATCAAAATTGCAGAGGCTGATTTTTAAATTTTTAAATTTTATGGATTGTTTTTAATTTTTGGAAATGTGAATTCAGGGAGGGGATTGTAACCTGGATTAAGAAGAAGATTGGACCTGGCATCCAAAACTTGACCACATTGGAGGATGCGGAACGCATATTGACTGCTGAAAGCAAAGTCGTTTTGGGCTACCTCAACTCTTTGGTGGTATGTTATGAAATCTGAAATGTATAATTTTGTGATTTTATAATAATGCATTAGATTATAATTAACGTGCATAATACACTGGTTGGTCGTAAACTCTGGTGGCGGTAATAAGGAGATTGAAAATTTTCTTCCAGGTTACGGTTGCCTCTTCATAGTCTAGGAATGGAATTAATCTTAAATTTAGAATGTGGTCCAAGCAGTCGGCTTTTAGTTGACGGCCTAGAGTTTGTTTGAGTAATATACGTGGACATGGACTAGCCGAATCTATTAGGACAAGTTTGGCTGTCAAATGCCGAATTGGGGATCTGCTGAATTTTGCATTTTGATTAATTGCACATAATCTAGAATAGGAATTCAAAAGTAGGTGATCAATGAAGCATACAAAACACTTGGATTTTTCTTCATGTACTAAATTAATAATAAAGTTGGTATCTGTAAAATGATTTTTCGAAACAGAAAAGGAAAACAAAGGTCGCTGGAAGATCTCAGAATATAGTCTGGTTACTTGTTGTAATTATGTGTTGTTCTTATGATAAAAGGGTCCTGAGAGTGACGAGCTTGCCGCTGCTTCAAGACTTGAAGATGAGGTGTCCTTTTACCAAACTGTAGATCCTAAGGTGGCAAAACTTTTCCATCTTGATGCTGAAGTTAAGCGCCCTGTTTTGGTCCTGCTAAAGAAGGAGGCTGAGAAACTAAGCTATTTCGGTTAGTTTCTTTATTGTTTTCACATTGGCTAAGATGTCTGAGATTGAGATTTTGGGTTGCATTACTATATACTCAGTTTCTCATTTCTGCAGATGGTAAATTTGATAAGACTGCAATTGCGGAGTTTGTCTTTGCGAACAAGCTACCTCTGGTTATCACCTTTACCAGGGATAATGCCCCACAAATTTTTGAAAGTACCATCAAGAAACAGGTAATTGTTACATGTGTAAATTTTTTTTTCGTAGATGTGACTTCAATACGAAACTCTTTAAAACAGAGTATTAAATATTGCATGCTGATTGACATGTAATCTTTCTATTCTCAGCTGTTGCTCTTTGCCTCTTCAAAAGATTCAGAGAAGGTTCTCCCTGATTTTCAAAAGGCTGCACAACTTTTCAAAGGAAAGGTATGGTTACTATTCGCCATTCGCTATGAGTTGGATTGCTGTCACAGAAACTGTTCACGAGCATCTAAAATAACAATTACATAAAGGTTTTTAAACAGTCTAGGCTTGAAATACCTTGTTCGTAGTACATCACATGTAAAGGAGAAGCTGATAGTGGTTGGTAGTTCCAGCATTGTGTATTTTTTGTTTCTTATTGAAATCCACATGCTTTGAGGGTGAGGGAAGAGGTGTTAGTCCTATGGAGATGTGGTTGATGGCTGTGTTTGGGGGTGGGGTAGTTGGGAAGAAATAAAGGATTTTTAGTGCATTAGGGGACATGTGGAGGATGTTTTGTCGTGTAAAGTTTCAATTTGGTAATCCAGCTTTGATTTTTGAAAAATTCCAGGGAACTCTTTTTGGGGCCTTATTAGGGTTTTCAGTTTGTGCTCTGCTAAATTTTGTGTTTTCGGTTTGTGCTCATCTCTTTTTACTAACAAAGTATTGTTTCAATAGAAAATAAAAAAGTAAATAAAATAAATACCTTGACCTTTAAGTAGGTTGGTCAGCTTCTATTAACTTTGAGTGTGTTGTTGCATTTGTTCTCTGTGGCCACTATATATGACCTGCATAATTTGAGCATCTGATCCTTTTTGGCTGCTAAGTTACACATTGCATTCTTATTTTGTTAACAAAGGATGAGGGTTGCAACTTAACTTTGTATAATGTGTGTGTGTGATTGCATGCAGCTTATCTTTGTATATGTGGAAACGGATAATGAAGATATCGGAAAGCCAGTTTCGGATTATTTCGGTGTCACTAGTGAAGCTCCAACAGTGAGCTTTTCCTAACCTTTGTATTCAATTCACTTACTTTTACTTTGGAAAGATAGAAGATAGATTGTACAGTTGCAATTTACATGTTCCTGGATTTATTTTTTGCTATGAATAATATTGTTCCTTATAGGTTCTTGGGTACACTGGAAATGACGATGGTAGGAAATTTTTTCTTGACGGAGAGGTGACCATATCTAATTTAAAGGTGACTACTCTCTCTCTCCCTCTCTCTCTCTCTTCTGTGTGCTTCATTTTTACATTCTAACTGTATGTTGTGAATTTATATTTCATTAGGCTTTTGGGAAGGACTTTATTGAGGACAAGCTTAAACCTTTCTATAAGTCGGACCCAATTCCTGAAAGTGTAAGTGTTAAATTTCTTTCATCCTCCTAATTGTGTTGTCTTGGTTCTCTATTCAAACTTATATGTTTTCTTTGATTGGCATAGAACGACGGGGATGTGAAAATAGTTGTTGGGAATAACTTTGATGAAATTGTCTTGGACGAGTCAAAGGATGTTCTTCTCGAGGTAACACTGCAAACTAAGAAACAAACGAATAGTTGATTAAAATTTGTCTTTGCAAGGTCCTCATTTTTGAAGAATCATTATCTCAGATATATGCACCCTGGTGCGGGCATTGCCAATCTCTGGAGCCAACCTACAACAAGCTTGCCAAACATCTACGAGGCATTGACTCTATTGTTATAGCCAAGATGGACGGAACCACAAATGAGCATCCCAGGGCAAAGGTAATGTCAAATTGCTGTGGTTAAATGATAGTTTGCGTATTTCAATTGCCTATTAGAGAGTTACGGGGCCAAATTTGTGCTGGAAGAAAAGGCATTAGATTTATGGTTTTAACGCCTAATGTCGATGTTCTTGGGGTAAAAACTTTGCAAGTAATTGCTGCTCATTTGATTTTGCAGGCTGATGGGTTCCCTACACTTCTATTCTTTCCAGCGGGAAATAAGAGCTTTGATCCAGTAAGTGGCATTTAGAATCGTTCATTATGTTTTTCTCTAACGTGCTTCTGCATATATCTTCTCGTTCTTCCTTGTTTTGCGTCTGACGTAGACTATCTGGCTCCTTGATGCCGAACAGATTTCCGTAGACAGCGACCGCACAGTGGTGGCATTCTACAAATTCCTCAAGAAAAACGCATCAATCCCTTTCAAGCTCCAAAAGCCAGCCTCAACACCAAAATCCGAGGGTTCTGCCGCTACAGAGAGCAAAGGGAGCGGCGGCGCCGAAGACTCGAAGGATGAATTGTGAGGAATATAGTAGTGTGCGCTAAATTGCTAGTTTGTCTGCCTAGTTAGTATTTGCCATCACCATCCGTGTGGTAGAGAAAGAGACTTGTCACATAGAAGAGAAAATAGGGAGATCAGAAATGATATGAGAAACTCAAATTCGCAATATAAACCCCGAAAAGATGTCCGGAAAATTTTAAGAAACTTAACCTGAATAATCTCTCTTTGCTGTGATGAATGTGTTATTTCAGTTTAGTTTGTTACAAAAGCATCAATTTAATCCAACCACGACATCGATAAAATGTCAAAATATGTTTATTGTAGCTAATTATCCAAAATAAAATTGACAATTCCATAAAAATGGCTTTTAAAGTTTAAGGAAAACTAATGAAAATAATTTGAAAACTTTGAGTTTGAACGATAAGGGTAAAATAAAGAGTAAAGTGAATAGTATCATGATTGATTTTTTAATGTAAAAATGTGGTTTTTCGTTAAAGTTCTTTTTAATTTAAGTGGTTTAAGGCTATTTTTCAAGAAAAAGATGTTCTTTTTCGTCTCATAGACACTTTTTACGTTCTCGTTTGCATATCTAGAGACTTAGGTAGGGGCGTCCATCGGTTGTAGGGTACCTTTTTTTTTGGGACTTGGATTCTCTGCCCTCCCATTTCGGTGCCCTTTCCGTACCCTCCTGTTTTGTGTGGTTACGGTTAATCCATGCTAACATTTTATATTGTTTTTTATAAAAATAATAAGGCAAAAAAAAAAAATAGTAATATAAAATATTGACGTGGCTTAACCGTGACCACACAAACAGGAGGGCACGGAAAGGGCACCGAATTGGGAGGGCAGAGAATCCAAGTCATTTTTTTTGTTTGGGTCAAACATTGTAGGGCACTTATAGCCCAATGTGAGTTGGCATAAATAGAACAGCCTCTCATGCAATCAAGATCTAGTAGCGTTACATGATAAGACAACAAAATTGTCACCCTTAGAATTTAAGATGGATTAGTAAAGAAGAAAATGAACATCCTAACGCTTCAAATTATATTCAGTGTTATTCAAATATGCCCACCGGATTTAAAAATCTAGGGGCGACATGTTACCAACTATGGCTCTACACACTACAGTAGTAAGGCAGATAAAAACGTACACATCTCTATATATTATTTAGCACATGAAGATAAATCCTTGTCATGCAAATTCTTTTCAATACCCATTAGCCATTATTTGGAATTTTAATAATTGTTATTGCTTTTTAAGCAGATCCATGTATGCCTAATGCTTGTGAAACCATATCCATGTGCAAATGGACTCTAATTTGTTTTGCATAGGCATAATTAATTTCATAGAGAGCACATATTTTGTGTGTGTGAACAATTTCTTGTAATAAGTGCATTTTTTTTCTATACTATTATACTATTATTAAGAGAAGCCTCCTTATCAGCTCCCCCCCCTTTTTTTTTTCCTATTTTGTCATCCTTATATAAATATTGTGTATCAAAAGTGAGGGTAAAATTGAAAAAATAAGTATATGATTGTGATTTTCTCAAAAAAAAAAAAAGGAAAAAAAGAAGAAGGTAAAATAGGAAAAATAGGGAATGATTGTCATTTTGTCAAAATGTACAAAATTACTATTTTGCCCTCTTTTTTGTCAATAGTGTATAAAAAATGAGGGCAAAATAAGAAAAAAAGGGAAAAAAGTTGACAAAGAGGGTTCTCTTAATAATAGTGTAATGGTATAGATTAAGGGGAGTTTTAATGAAAAGTCACAATACTATTCACTTTAACGAAAAACCACATTTTTATACTAAAAAGTCAAACATGATACTATTCACTTTAGCTTTTATTTTGTCTTTATCGTTAAAACTCAAAGTTTTCAAACATTTTTCATTAGTTTTCCTTAGATTAAGTGAATAATAATTGTTACTTAGGCCATCTCCAACCGAAGCCTGGCCAGAGGGCTCGTTTGAGCCCTCTGGCCCTCCAAGATTCCCCAAGATATTAATATTTTAATGAACAGTACAGTGCCATATTTGCCTCCGTCTCCAACCGAGGGCCAGAGGGCCAAATGGCTCGTTTTAGCCCTGTCACAAAAAACCGTCTCCAACCGAGAGCCAAAGGGCTATAGGGCCAAACATAATTTATTATTTAAATTTAAAAACTACAACAACTCAAATTTAAAAACAACAACTTATATTTAAACACTACAAATTAAATTTAAAAACAACATTAACTTAAATTTAAAAATTACAACGACTTAAATTTAATATCCATAATCAATATTATCTTCATCATCCGTCATTGTAGGAGTATAGTCAGAGGTAAACAATTGCCGCCGAGCCATAATTTCTTTTTTTTTCCTATCAAAATAGGCCCTACTCATTGGAGTGTAATTCGAAGTGTTCATTTCCATATTCTTATCATCCATCTCTTCTTGTATTTGTTTGGCTCGCTCTTCATGTCTACACTTCCTTTCTTCCGCCTCACGGGCATTTTGCTCCGCCAGTAATCGAAATGAGGCCGCCACTTCATGTTGAGCGGCGTAATCAGCATTTGCCTTGCCCTTTTCCCTCAACCTTCGGGCCTTGTTTCGTCCCATAGCCCTAGGTAAAGAAATTTCGGACGGAGTCGGATTTTCTACCCTTGTTTGTTGAATGGTAGGAGATCCATCTTCATTCATATCTACAGATGGGGAAGCAGCTTCCAAAGGATCCACTCTATGTTGAGGTGGATCTTCAAATAACACCCACCCTTTACAAATTTCCCAACAACCGTGAAACTGAAAGGGTTTTGAGCTGCCTTCCATATACAATTCCTCCGCTTGGCGTACCTAGAAAATATAATTAAAAAAATTTTAGGAAATTAATTCACGAAATTAATGTAATATAATTAAACATTTAAAATAAACTGTAAAAACACTAACTTCGTCATAGTAATTGGCGCCGCTTTCATGTCTACTTGCTGCTGCTAATAATGCTTGATGCCATTTATTCAAACTTGGCTGAAGATGTTTCTTCCATCTTGAAGAACAACTTTCGTGGTTTCGGGTATTCGGTGGAATGGTGCCTTCGTAGAACTCTAAGTATTTTTTGGACACACGAGTCCAAACACCTTCACTTGTTTGAGAAATCCCCCTCACACTATCTTCTGAGATCCATCTATAAGCCTTGCAAAGAGCTTCATCTTCTTTTCGGGTCCAAGCCCTACCTTTCATTGCAGATGAGGCCATTTTTTTTGAAAAAAAATGAAGGAAATATTGAAGGAAATATTGCAAATGAAATGAAGAAATATTATAGATGAAGGAAATATTGAAAAATTGAAACAAATATTATAGATGAAGGAAATATTGGAAAATATATTGAAGGAAATATTGAAAAATTGAAACAAATATTATAGATGAAGGAAATATTAAAAAATATATTGAAGGAAATATTGAGAAATATATTGAAGGAAATATTGAAAAATATTGAAGAAGGAAATATTGCAAATGAAGTGAAGAATTGAAAGAACTTCACCATATTTATAGAAGAAAAAAATGTTTAAAATAAATTTAAAAAAAAAAAAAAAAAAAAACCAACGGCTAGTTCAACGGCTAGCTGACTCAGCTAGCCGTTACATTCAAAACATTTCAAACTATTAGTGTCGGTTATAACCGACACTAATAGTAGAACTATTAAAAAAAAATGCTCTTTAATGCTGTCGGTTTTAACCGACAGCAATAGGAAACATTAAAAAAAAAAATAGCCAGCCCGGGGCTGGCTGGCTGGCCGAAAGCAGCCAGCCCTCTAGCCCTCCAGCCCTCTCCGATCCCGTAGGGCTCTCCCAGATTCCAGAGCCCTCTGGCCTAGCCCTCGGTTGGAGACGGTTTTAGGGCTATTTTCGGCCCTCTGGCCCTCTGGACCCTTCGGTTGGAGATGGCCTTATCTTATCATATATGGTTGGACAGCCATATTGTCAATGACGAAAAAACCATACCTCGCTGCTCCCCTGTTCGTTATTTATCCTATATTTGGATGGACAATCATGTCCATAAAGGAATAGGATCCTCTCTACATGTTCTTTGTGGGGATCCGAAAGATTAATTAATCGTGTCTGTTCATCGTACATTGTGCGGTTAAAAATCATATTAAATTTAAAATTAAATATAAATAGTACCTAACGAAAATTGGCCGCATAATGTATATTGAACGGACACGATTAATTGATCTCCAGATCCCCACAAAGAAGATCTGAAAATGATCCTTGTCCCATAAATTCATGTATAATGCATTCTTTTGTTGTACTTTATGTTTTTTTTTTGACAAAAGATAATAAAGTTTTTAATTTTGTGGTTGGTATCAATGGTGTATATAGTTTAATTTCCATATTTGTCCTCTTTCAAAAAAAAAAAAAAAAAATTAAGCCATTAGCAATTTAGCACTGCCATCCTGTCACGTATTTGTAATGCCATAACTGATAAGGTATAAAACAGCTGTTCGGTTTTTGTTTCCGAAATGAACCAAATGCGATATTCTACTTCAAATTTATCTAAATTGTCGGGAGGGGGATTATGAAGCCACATTCATTTGGAAACGCCTACATTTACACTAAAACTTATAACTTTGATTCCATACTTTTATTCTCAGCATTCATGTTGGATTTTTCTTTTGTGTTTTTTTGGTTGTCAATACTTTGGTCCTCATATTACGATAAATAAAACCCACGTCGACTCCACATTCGACTCAATTATTGACTTACATAACTTAATAACTCTAGACAAGAACAAGATCTGGTTATTATCAAACACAACTCGTTAACCACTGTACCCGATGCGACGATTCCCGTGTGACAACTAAACACGATCTAGTGGCCCTTGGATCTGACCACCCACCCATCTAAGGTCAAGTTCAGGTTGAGTCACACATCCATCCCTATTTCACTCCACATTTTTCTTCCTAGATATTCCTTTTTTTTTTGGATGATCAAATATTCCTTTCCAATTTGGAGTTAGGGTTTTTAAAAGGTAACAAAAATACAAATTAGTCCCCATCATATCATGTGCAAATTGCATAAAAAACAGTAGCTGGCAAAACATAAATAAAGATATTTCTTGCCGCGTTTATTGTGTTTGATAAATCACACTTCTCATCTCCTTCCAATTCAAGTCATCCCATAAACAAAGAAATTAATATTCATAATAAACCCACCAAGCAACTAAAGCTCATATTTCTCATGTCCTTACAATTCAAGTCATCTCCGATTCACCTTTTAAACGTTGTCCCTTCCTCTCCTTCGTGTGTTCACTCCCTTTGCAATTTTTTTTTTTAACAAACGATATTATCTATACTAAAGAGGATGAAGTAAGTTTATCCTCACTATGGATTAGCAATAATATGGTTTAAACTCGTTTTTGGCGAGAATCGAATTTAAGACCTTTTACTTACAAGTGAAGAGATATATCATTCGTCCTTAGTATTAAGTGGGCGCTCCCTTTGCATTTGGAGTCTGATACATTTTTTTATACAATAATGTATTTTCTTTTTTGAAATGCAAGTGATATTATTATCTTCATTTACACATATTTAAAGATTGAACTGTTAATAATATTGAATTTAAAACTTCCATTTACAGCCACTCAGTACTAAAGTCTGGTAATATTCTTCTTCACTTGGAAGTAAAAGATCTTAGGTTTGAATCTCGTGGATGGCGAATTCAATACCAAATTAGGTTGCCCATTGTGTGGTTTTGTTGAACTCCTCATCCTCTTAGTGTAAAATATAGATGTACTAAAAAAAAAATTTCATTTACAAATAAAAAGAATATTATCAGACTAAAATACAGTTTTCATTTCAAATTCAATAAAATATAGTTCATAATAGGGTTGCCTTTCCAACAAAAAATGAAAAAGAAAAAAAAACACAACTCTTTATAAATAAGACCAAATAAAATAATAGAATTACAATATCATCCAACTCTTGTCCACACTTCCAAAAAACCCCAACTTAAATCTCCTCCGCATTTTTCTAGATCCAGTGTATCGCTCCTCTCCCTGCTTTTTTACTCCACCTAAGTGTCCAGATCTGAATCGGCCTCTTCCCTCCCCTTCCCTCCCCTTCAATCTCGGCCGTCCCCTTTTTCCCTTCTCCCGAGGTCTCCTCCTTTCAAATTCAGATCTCCTCCACTCCATTTCAAAACTGCTTCCCAAAATCTCAACTTCCTCTCTTCTCACTTTCCCATCAGATCCACATTTTCTCGGGAAACAAACGCCTCGAGCCGACGCCGCCTCCTCCGTCAACAATGTCGAGGTTCATCGAACTCCTCTCGCCTCTGCTTCTCGCTTTCCTCCTAATCCAATTCAGCACCGCCGTTTCTTCTTCCTCTTCGCCAGAGCCCTCGCCGACTCCATCGCCGCAACCCGGCGCCGATTCACCTTCACCGCCATCTCCATCCCCGATTTCCCTCCCTCCATCTCCGTCGAACGCTCCGGCTGATTCACCAATTCCATCTTCTCCTCCCGCTCCGCCGCAATCGACTCCATCGCCGTCGCCTGACAGCGAACCTCCGTCGGTTCCTAGCGACATCAACCACAATAACATCAGCGCCGACGGCGACGGAGAGGAGTCCTCCGAAGGAGGAATGAGCACGGGAAAGAAGGCGGGGATCGCGTTCGGAGTCATCGTCGGAGTCAGTTTGGTAGGGCTGGGAGGATTCGTGTACAAGAAGCGTCAAGATAACGTCCGTAGATCTCAGTACAGTTACGCCGCCAGGAGAGAGATTCTCTGAAGAAACACTCAATCGTCTTCATACGCGAAGCTCTTCTACTTATAGAGGTTACTGTTAAATCTTAAATTTTCTGGTATTAATTTCTCGTAATTTTTTGTTTAAATTCTGGGCATGTTTAGTATATGATTGAATTGGGGTTTTCTACGGCGGTGAAAAATGGTGATTCAATTCGATTCTTGATTTTTTGGCGCGCCGGCGGTGGCGGTGGCGGAGGAGTGGTGATAGGTAGATTATTTTTATTATTTTCTTTTTAAATTTTGGGGGTAAGATACTTGATTGTCAAATATGAGTGATGTATTGCTTCTCTATTTTAGAAATAATATAATAATTGGATTTACAGATTTGGAGTTACTCGTTTTTCTTCTAATTTGATGATTATGTGTCATTTTAATTGTGATTTCGATTATATGTAAAGAAATTTTAACGAAAAGCTTGCGGTAATGTTTTCTTTAACGAAAAATTATATTTTAACATTAAAAAATTAAACCTAGAATTATTTATTTTACATTTTATTTTGTCCTTATAATTAAAATTTAAAAATTTTAAATTATTTTCATTAATTTTTTTTTGTTTTTTATTTGATTTTTCCAGTTGATTGCAATGCGATGAAGATTTGTGGGTATTACTTTTACTGTTTTGGTCTATATTCTATTCTTTTTGTTGGTTTCGTTTTATTGTTTTTTTTTTTTTTTCCAAGTGGATATGTCGACTTTGTGCAAAGAATTTTTTTTTTTTGGTAAAGTGAAAAAACTTGGGCTACTGTAACCCTATTCCTCTTTTCTACCTTCTCTCCATTTTTATGCTTTTGTAGCTTTTACTTTTGCTTCGGCATCTTTAAAGTTTAAAGATTAAATGAGAGCACAAGCTATGGATGGGCATAAAACTGTAGGATCCCAAAATCGAATCGACCCATGATAAAATAAATGAGTAAATTGTACAAATGGTTCCTCAACTTTAATCAAATTGGAGCAATGGTCCCTCAACTAAAAACCCATTACCTTTGGTCTCTCAACTTATCAAAACGTGCAGCTATGGTCCCTCAACTAAAAATCCATTACCATTGGTCCCTGAACTTTAATTCAAGTGGAGAAATGGTCCTTTAACTTTAACCCAATTGTAGCAATGGTCATTCCAATATAACTCGTTTTGACAAATTTTTTGACATAGTTGACGAAAAGAACCATAATTATACACTTTGATGAGTTAATGGATCCTAATTATATAAATGGTCATTCCAACATAGCTTATTTTGACAAAATTTTGACAAAATTGATGAAAATGACTATAGCTACACATTTTGATAAGTTGAGGGACCAATGGTAATGGATTTTTAGTTGAGGGACCATTGCTCCAATTTGATTAAAGTTGAGGGACCATTTGTACAATTTACTCTAAAATAAATTGTAAAAATTCATTCTGACAAAAAACAATCAACATAAGTTCAAGAATCGAACCTAATCGTTCATATGGGTTTCAGCTTCTATGTTGGTGGAACCACTCAGAATCGAACCGGAACCATTGTAAGTTGAATTGTATGATTTTAGTAATAAATTTAAGCGGAACAGCTTCAAATCGAACAATTTAAGCGGAACCACACCGTGTCCAACCCTATGCACAAAGACCACAACTTCCTAATGGCCAAAATTAAATAGGGAAATCGATTAAAGTGATGATTTTTAATATTTGATTAGTTTGACGTCAACATATGATGGGAATATTACACATATTTGATATCGATCAATTTATAATAAATCATTATTCTAATAAACTTTTAAAAGGTGAAAAGTGAGCAAATTCCACAAGAGAGAATATGGCCACTGCTGACTTTGTGACTTGTCATTGAATCTGACAGAGGATATCGTGGTGGTGGTCTATCCGTGTCATGAAAAACCTCCATGATGCTAAAGGACGTCTTTTTCTTGTTACCATGCATCTGTAAATTTCACTTTTGGGTCATCATTGAACATGGCTTGGCCACTACTCATATCTAATGAGAAATTTCTTCTTACATTAAAGTTTGTAAATTACAAACTCGTACTTATTCACAAGTGGATGAACCTCTTTTAAGGCACCATACAAAATGAGTGGGTGGGAGCAGGTGTTTTGTGTCTGTCCAGTCGGACAACTATTTAGTTCTGTAGTTTGGATCGGAGTTGTTCGCTACATAAAATAACCCTATTCAATCCTTTTCCTTCTTCTTCTTGTCGCTGGATATCTCGTTCGTACACATCTTCTCTTTAATATGTAAATGCGGAAGAATGAGTCCGCCAGATATTTTTAGGAAATTGCACCAAGAATGAGAGTTAGTCAAACTGTAATGTATTTGACTTTTTGCATTGGTGTCATTCTGAAGTTTAGCCCACCCTCCTATCGTCTTAATACTCATTTGGATGTGATTTTGAAATGATTGAAGGCGCTTTTTAAAAAAAAAATTATTTGGGTTCTAAAAGCACTTGAAGTGTTTTCTAAAAGAAGCATCAGTTATGCGCTTCTTCCAATAAACACTTTAAGTGTTTTTTCAAGATTTACTTGTATTTACTAAAGATTGGTTCTAAAAACATTTTCACAAAAAACGTTTTCAATCATTTTAAAAACACATCCAAACAAATTTTTAGTATAGATAAATAGCGTTTATAAAAAAAATATGTCAACGATAAATGAGGGGCATTTTCAAGTTTTGGCCTCTTGTGAATGTTGACTCGTGCCAATATATACCATGTTTATGGCTCGTCAATGTTCGCAAAATCTGGTTTTACCATCGCAAAATGCTTTTGCGACGACTGAGCAGCAGCAAATGAGGCCATGAAATAGGTGGCAATAAATGGTCTTCTGCGACAGTAGCCTTGATGGTTTAACTTCAACTTGAACAAATGGAAAATAAAGCAAGCGTGGATTGTTTCTTTCAAACCAAAAGGAAAAATTGTTCAATGCCATGACGTTATATGTGCAAACGAAGAGAAATTTCGTAATTATATCACGTATTGAGTAGATGGAGATAAAGTCTAATAAAAACATTCGAATGGAAACGCTTATAATCAAAAGTACTTACTTCAGAAGCAGACACTCGCACAATCTTCGATATGATCAACATGAAAGCGGCTAAACCTAAGGTTTTAATTTAGTAACGGGAGAATTACGTTGTTGTTTTGTATACTTGCACCGCAACTCGGTACTAATTTCATGCACTGTGGATTACATTTAAGGCAATACATTTTCTTCGAGATCAAGTCATCGTTTATTGTTTTCAATCTGCGGATATTAGAAATTACCGGCTTTTACTCTTCCGCAGGAGGGTCAACCCAGCGGCCGTGATCTTTTATTAGCTGGATCAAGGCATCGGTTGCATGCTCCATCTCAATTCCACGCTTCACCACCGTCTGAAACACATTTCAACCTCGTATCAGGTTCGCAAGTTTTTGAAGATTGGAAACAAACTGTAACAATGTCTAATATAAAGCTGAAGCGCTGCTTCTGTGTTATTTAATTTATGTTCTTCAAACTAAACCGATATCAAATTTCACGCTGGGCGGAGGAAATACCTTCCCAACGTAGAGGTCAATCTTTCCAGGAGCGCCACCAACATACCCAAAGTCTGCATCAGCCATCTCCCCGGGTCCATTTACAATGCAACCCATGATCGCAATCTAGAAAATGGAAATAGAGAACGAATTACACAATCACCATTCAAGATCATTGAGTTGCAAGGAAAGGTATAAGGTAATTACTGAAACGCCAGGCAAGTGTGATGTCTTCTCTCGTATTTGTGCACTTATTTCTTGAAGATCAAACAAAGTTCGGCCACAGGATGGGCATGAAACATACTCCTGAAATGAAATTTAGGCATGTACAGAAATTGTTTAAGACCATCCTCTCTTCATGATATGTCAAGTTCAGTTATATTTCGTAAGAAAACTCCCTACCGTCTTTGTATTCCGCATTCTACATCCTTGTAGTAAATTGAAAGATGTGTTTCTCAGGTAATCAAAGTCCTTGTCTGGGGCTTCCAATAGAAGACCATCTCCAAGTCCATCTACTAAAAGGGCCCCCGCATTGGTACCAGCACCGATAACCAAGTCATCCCTGCACGAAGTGGAATTAAGCCAGAAGTACTAATACCATGGATCTCTGACAGAAGGAAGAGTCAATCATGTAATTACCCATGGATTCCACTTGGAAACTGAATATGGTGTATTACAGGTAAGTTTAGAGCATTGTCGCCCAGATACTCGAATAGCCTACAGAAACATAGACTTCATATTATCAGGAGAAGGAAAGATGTGCATAACAATAACAAGAAGTTAAAACATGGACTATCATTTAACAATCAACGGCCCCAAAGAACGGAGAAAACAAATTTCATATTGGTTGAAGTGTCTAGGGCCTAGGAAAATGCCCTTCTAGATTGAAATTCTTACAATGGAAATTTTATTTCGATGATTTATATGAGTTATAAAGTCATTACCTCCTTGCAGCATGCACTCGGCTTGTTTTATCTTCACCAAAGGGCAGATCATGGAGAATCATTGTAGCATCAATGCCCTTGAGAATATCCAGCACTTCATAGGGTTCATCACCATGTAATGAGACCACCACCCGTGTACCTACAAGGCCATAACTCACAATAAGAAATACAGAATATAAATCAGGAGTACTCAATTCGGTAACAAAGCTTCACCTTCTGGCAAAAGCTTGTATGCACCAGTTGATAACTCCTTCGAATTTACCAGAACCATGGCATTGGGCAATGGCTTTGTTAGCTGTTCTGACAATGGTGTTATAACACCCATACTTACATCTATCAACCTTTTGAGAGCTAGCCGCTGATCATAATACAAAGAAAACTGTCACATTATTCTTGTTCTTGCAAAGAACTTAATGCTCAAGCAGCTTATGCGATATAACTAAAATTTTGGGGAATGGTGGGGGGAGTAAGAGAGAGAGAGAGAGAGAACATGATTATTTCCCAAAGTAATGAAGAAAAGTACAGTAGGGTTCTTACAGAATCAGCATCATCAACAGGTGGAAGTTGTCTCAATAAGATTGAATCAACGGTTGCAAGATCCTGTATCAACAGAACTATGTAAATGAAAATCCCAGTAAACCTAAATGATGTACAATATGAAACGTAAAATGGAATCATAGTAGACCTTAAATGGCATTCCGAGAACAAGTTTTGTTGCTAGTGACTTGTACAGGAGCTCTGGTGTCTATAACGAAAGCAAAAAGGTCAGTTTATTTTCTCCACCCGAAAGCAATAAAATGGAATAAAGGATGTATGATTTCCACTGTACCTTCAACTGGTCAAGGGATACTGACATCAGAACAGAGCCATCACGGTGCAAGACACCTCTATAATCCACCTCTTCACCCTGTGTTTTGATGACATCATTATCTCTGCTAAAGGAAAAAGAATATGATGCACTAAGTGATGCAATCTCAAGATCTTGGCTAACCTCCTTTTGTATTGGCAGTTGACCAGATCGACGCTGAAATTCAAAATAATGTCGGTGCTTCTCTTCAAATGGAGCCTGATACAAATAATGCCATCAAGAAAGCTGTTTGGACTTTCAATTTCTAAAATAGAAGTGATCAAGAATATTAATCAACTAACAAAAGATTGTAAAATCCTACCACTCCTTGCTGAAGATCCGCTGCTCTCTTACCAAGGTTGGCCAATCGTCTGCAGGGATCTATCTCCTCCTCTGGTGCTTCAGTAAGTGAAACCCTAATTGTATCACCCAAGCCATCCTGCATACAAAATTCTAGTGTTCCATTATGGCTAGACACGACTTGTAAATGTATTGTCCTGTTGCATTTATATCAGCTTCAATCTCTTGAACTAAGTGCAAGATCACACGACATACACAAATAGACAAACCTTCCATCTATCATAAACCTACCATCTGTCATAAGCACAGTTGCAGTACGCAAATACTTATTCTTAAAGCCAACTTAACAATATAGTGCATTACTGGCATATAAATCAGAATAATCCCTACGATGTTTACTGGTTTTGAATCAATCACAACACCTCAACTAATGATTCAATTGTACCTGAAGAAGGGTTCCAATACCAATTGCAGATTTCATTCGCCCATCCTCACCTTCTCCAGCTTCAGTAACTCCCAAGTGCAATGGATAATCCCAGCCTTGAACATACATTTCAGCTACAAGCAAACGATATGCCTGGACCATGATAACCGGGTTGCTTGCTTTCATTGAAAAAACAAAATTATGGTAGTCCAACTTCCGGCAAATTCTTGCAAACTCAAATGCAGATTCAACCTGTTGAGATATAACATGTCAATGACACCCAATGAGTTTGTATGTACATCAAACAAGCTTGAACTATTTTCAGCAAAAAGATAATGTTTTGCTCACCATTCCTCGAGGAGAATCCCCATAATAGCTCATTATACGATCTGAAAGGCTCCCGTGGTTTGTCCCAATACGCATTGCTCTTCCATACTTCTTACACTTTTCAACCAATGGAGTAAAAACCTGCCGTTGTCGAGAACATAACTTTCATTAAACTGAGCACATTAGAGAATGATTGTGTATCAACATAATAGATCGTTTGATACCCAACAATATAGGCTTTACAAAATACTTGCCTCTTAAATCTCTTTATTTTATTTTGTTCATAGTCAGTTCACTTTTGGAAAAAATAGTTACCATTTCACACATACTTATCAAACTTTAATGAAAATCTAAGTCTGCATCAGTTTCTCAAACATTAATGTGTGCTTTTAACAGTGGACACGAGCAGAGGCCGTGTACAGATAGATATATGGTTACCTGCTCAATGTGCTCAAGTTCTTTCTGATAGTCATCTTCCGTGTACTCTAACTTCTCAAACTGGGCCCGTCTATCAGCTGCAATAAAACACCTAAATGAATCCACAATCACTCCCTTCAAATAGAATATAACAAAACCATTGAACAGTGAACTGTGTACCAAAATTTCCAGGGTTGACACGAATTTTGTCAAAGCATTCAGCGACCCGCAGTGCAACAGTAGGAGCAAAATGAATATCTGCCACCAAAGGTATATCATAACTGCACATATAGATTGAAACATGGTCAGACCTTAAACAACATAAAGAGTAGATCTTTAACCACTCAAAATACAACAACGAAGCCTACTTTTTCTGCACAAGGGAATTTTTAATTTCAAAACAAGCATCTGCTTCTTTCCTCCCTTGAACTGTTATCCGAACAATATCTGCTCCCTTATCTGCTATTCTCATTACCTACAAACAAAGGAGAAATTGATATGCCAACAATCTGAATCAGACCCAGAGGTATCATAGATATACCAAGTTGGGTCAATCCACCAGTATATAAATGAAAAAAAGGGAACTACCAAACCTGTTCAACTGTAGCAGCAACATCCTTTGTGTCAGTTGTGGTCATTGTTTGAATCCTTATGGGATGCTCACTACCAATAGCCACATTTCCAACCATAACTGTGCGCGTTTTCCTCCTGACAGTTTTGTGTATGGATTCACAATACTTTTGCCTAGGAACTAAATTGAAAAAAAAAAAAAATTATTAGACAATATGAAAGAAATTTTAGAAAGGTAGAAAAACATACTTAGGCTGATACATACTACCTTACATTCCATTTCGTCTCTTGGAAAACTGAATAAAAGTGATCAAGCCAAGGCTTAGTTTGACTGATCCTAATACAATTAGCTTTGTTTAGGCAAGAATTCCATTTTCACAATAACAATTACCTTGGGTTTCGTTATAGATATATCTCATCCAGCAAACAATTATTTCACAACTTTCTAGTTAATAGCTATTTATTTCCAACCATGTAAATAAATGATTGATTAACAGGAACATTACAACCAGCTAATGATAACTACCGATTATTTCTTGTTCAGCATTTCTGAGAAACCCAGAAACAAGGCAAAAGAAAACATAGCAATCTGCTTTACTTTGCCGCTGCCAAAAGTAATTTCAAGGACTAAAACACAACACATGCATTAAAACAAAGGCTGACTAAACCAATTAGGGAGTTCAACAACCTAACAAAGGGCTGCCTTCAGATGCAGGCTTGAGCTCAGCAATATCCGAGCCTGGATTTGAGTTTCGTATCACTGAGATTCTTGTTCTGCCAGACTTGAACCTCTTCAAATCAGAAACCCTCGCAAAATCCATACTTTTAGCAAACCCGAAACTTGAGTCCCTGCTTTTCAGACCCGTAAAAGAAGCCGGTACAGCTCCGGTCGCCATTTCCACGACTGCAAAGCTCTACCCTTCACAATTCAAAAGCACAATTTGCCAGAAATTCAGTTAACTCATCATTTTATACATCAAAATTCAGAATTACCATGTCAAGACAAGAACTTTGATTAATCATGAACCAAAACATAAACAGGAAAAAGAATTTGTGGGTTTTCAAATTCACTCTTTCCTTAAGCTGAGCAGCTAAAGAAACTTCAAAACAATGATCTTCCTCACAAATTTCTCAGCTTTCCCAGAGCCCAAAACACTAAACTAATCCACCACCTAATCACATTCACACCAACTGAATTCTCTGCTTTCCTGATCAAATTTTGCATAAAGTCACATAATATATTACCTCAAAACAATCAACAAAACACAAAACATAACAAAAACAAATAAATCAAATGCAATTCAAAACCCAAAAAGCGTTTTTACAAAATCAACAAACCTAGAAAGCGTTTTTACAAAACCAACAACCAGAGTGCTCAAAAGGATGCTCAATTGGTGGACACTTGGAGTGCTGGTGATTGTGCTGATGGGTATTTTCTGTTTACCTTGAGTGATGTGTGGAGTTGATCAGTCGGAGCTGCTGAGAGTGAGAAGGGGAAGAAGAAGGCTCTAGAACTCCAGAAGTTGGAAAATTTGGTGGTGGGATGGGGAGTGAGAGAAGGGAGTTGCCAATGGATTTTTGGAAATTTGTTTTTCAATGGTTGAATTTGTACCAATTTGTGGATTGTCTGGGCTGCAAGGATATGGACAAAACCATTTGTTTTCGTATCTATTTTTCTGGTAAATGTTTAATCTTGGTATCTAATGAGTCGTCTAACCATACAAAGCACGAAGCCATTAATAATTGCGTGTGTTATTCTTCTTAGTAATTTTCAGCCTCCTTCCTCCCCAAAACCACAAGGGAGAAGGGAGTTGGTAGAAAAACAGAGAGAAATACAGTATATATATGACGGGACTCCAGGGACACAATCGATATTAGCATAAAAATATGAAACCGATTTGGAAGCACAATATGCTTATGAACAGTAAATTATTTCACCGAGATTTAGTGTAGATTAAATTTGATATGCATAGAAAAGGTAACAAATGAAATCACCAATCATAATTTTAGTGTGGTAGGTAGCGGCATTAAATATAGGTCTAATGATCTATGCGCCATGGAACCAACGCCACAACGATGCAATCAAAGCTTGTCCATGTTCGTTGTGCATGTGTTTTTTTCAGTACGTGTAAACTTGCCAATCATTTTTTGGGTACATTAACCTACAATTCATAGCAATGTCACATTTTTATTAAATTTTTTGTTAATTTAGTCGTTAAATGATAAGCACACCTTACTTTCTTATCAAAGAGCAAATTTCATTTTACTATCTCAACTTTGAGTCTTATAACAAACATATATTTCATATTTTGAACATTGCAATGACATATATAACCTTACGAATTTGTTACAATGTCAAATCTCGTTTCTTTATTCATCAATTTTTCTGTTAATTGTTGACGTGTCCTATTGAAACTCCATGCTAGTTACTTGTCAACGGGGGAGTACGGGTACTGACCCTATTGTTGAACCGGATAGCGCAAATTCAAATTCACATTCGTCTCTGTTCTCTCTTTCTTCACTGTCGGCTGCTTCTTTGCTGGGGAATCATTCCGTCCTTGACTTTTCTTCTCATCTGGCTTCCTATTCGCTTCCTACTTTCTCAACGTCTGCATCTCCCGCTTCGCCTACATATCGAGAAGTGCTCACTCCAACTCGGACGACTCGATCGACGACGAAGACAACACGCTCGGTTGGGACGGCGGTATTTGGTGCTCGTTCTCTCTCGATTCTACATTGAACTTGTTCGCTAGCTTCGACATGTCAACAACGTGGAGTCCCAGTAGGCAAGGGAGTAGGCCCACGCCTACCACGTCAGTAGTTAACTGACAAATTAACGGATAAGAAAATGAGGTCTAATATTTCAACGAATTCGTAAGTTGATGTATGACATTGCAATGTTCGAAAAATGAGGTACGCGTTTATTATGTGACTCAAAGTTAAGATGGTAAAATGTAATTTGCTTTTTTTTATTTTTCAAAATTTGGCCGAGAAAGTGTACCATGTGGCTCCCACGTCATAATTTAATGATCAAATTGACAGAAAATTTAACGGAGGTATGATATTGATGTATAACATTGCAATGTTTAAAAAAATGAGAAATGCATTTGTTATGTGATCCAAAATGAGGTGGTAAAATGTGATTTCCCCAATAAAAAATTTAACCCGTCACTAAATGCGTAATTTGGAGAGAAGGAATGATGAGCATGAGTTCTCTACGTTTTGATGCCAAAGAGTAAGCACAACTAGGAATCTTGTATACACCGTTTTGGCATATTCTGTCGCCGGACAACAACTTAACAAACTAAACTGCTAGCCTTCCAACTAAAATTGCTGCCCACACGCTTCCATACACGCTCTAGTCTGCCCATCTAAGCCTTTGAACCAGAATTGATGGCTCCCAAACTTGAAAAAACAAATATAGAGAAATACAACTTAGAAGAAAGTGCCCATGAAAGCACAACTTAAGGACTTTGTCTTTGGACTTCACTTTTCTGGAGATGAATCCTTTCGCATTGGTTGATGGATGACTACTTTCAAAAACCTCAAAAATTACGTTTCTTCAGTTTCGTGTTTTTTTTTAGCAAACGATATTATCTACACTAAGGGGGAGGGAGTAGATTTAACCTCACAATGAGCTAACAATAATATGATTCAAATTTGCCTTTGGTGAGAATCGAACCTAAGACCTCTCACTTATAAGTGAGGAGAAATACCACTAGAATGTAATACTAAGTGGCTTCACTTCAGTTGTTTTTATCTTCTATGTTTTGTTAGTCATGTTGATGCACAAAACTGGAGGTCTTGGAATAACATAAATCCGACCGTGAATCTGCAAGTAATGTAAATAACACACTGATTATGTATTCATCTGAGAAGTGAGGGAGAGAATGTGAGAGCCTTTGAGAGTGAGGTTTTGAGAGGGGGTGAAGAGCCTTAGGAATTGGCTTCTCCTAATTGTGAGGGTGAGGGGTCATTTTATAGAATAAGTGTTGGAAGTATGCCCACAAAGCCACTCATTTGATGTAATAGCTTTTTGGAATACTTAATGTATTAAACTTTTATATGTTTAATGAAGGGCAAAGCTTATTGTTAATCACTATTTATTGTATCATGTGTTTAAGCAATAAGGGAATCCTAGGGATGTATTTGATCTAAGAGACAAGTGATCTAAGTGAGTTAGATTATCGAGACCATTCTCTTATGTTCATTCGTAAAACGTTCCTAGCCATAGGATTGCCAATCCGCTAAGGTTAGTATGTGTTATGTCAACTCAAGCTTGAGTATGACTAGTCTCAAGTCATTTGGTGTTGGACACTAAGACAAACACATAGGTGCTCGAAAGAGTAATCGAGTACACTGAACAACGATCAAAAGAGAGTTCGAACATACATGTCATGTAAGAACTCGAAAGTTGCAATATGCAAAGTAGTCATTTGACCTGAGGCATCATAGATGTCTAATGGTTAGGTCCTTGATCTTTGATCATGTCAACGGCATTCCATCGGAGTGTCCACGGCATTGTTGGGGTCAAGCTATCTAGTCATGTAGGCATATGAATGCACAACAAGGGATCTCTAACCTTCCATGGTGGAAGAAGAATACTTTAAGAAATGATTATAAAGTCTTTGGCCAAAGCATATGAATATGACTTAGGAAGTTTGTTCCAAATCATATTCAAGGGAATCATATAGATAAGCATCACATTGGATAGTAGACATGAAACAAACTATCACTTAAACAATGTGATTAAGAGTATTGTATTAGAGAAGGACCGTATTGCATTGTAGTTGTAACTGGATAGGTTCTCCAACCACTTCTACTTAGCTTGGGTAACAATGACATACTGCTAGGTGTCACTCATGGTTTGTGGAAGCCCTAATGATTAGCAAACACTAATCATTAAGGGAGAATTGAAATGTGGTTTCAATTCACAATCGATCGTTAAGAGTAATAATCGCCCACTACCTCGCTAATTAGAACCTAATGGATCGTACACCAAGTAAGGATGTATGTGAAGAAATTAAATGAAATGGATAAGAAATTAAATGATTTAATTGAAGAATGGTCAAGGTTAATTAATTAGTTAATTAATTATACGAAATGTTCGTATTGGGCTTATATGTTGGTTTTGGGTTACGGGGCCCAAAAGCGTTTTGGTCCACAAGGCCCATTATGTTTAAGTTGTATAACAACTAAAACAAAATGGGCAAATAGCCCAATAACATTAATATGGCCGGCCATTAGGGTGGATGATGCAAACTTGGATTAATTACAAGTTTGCCACTCACTTGTAATGAAGTATAAAAGCACCTTTATGGCTTTATTTTCATTAAGGGTTTTCTTGAAGAAATTGGGTGAAACATTTTCTCTCATTTTTTTTCTCTAAAGAGGCCGGCCACTTAGGGGAGGGACATCTAGCAATCTCTTCTTCCCTAAGTCATCCATATCATCTTCACAAGATACATCCTTGGTGAAGAGACTTAGAGACATCAAGCTTTTGATGTTTTTGGAGAACTAATCCTCAAATCCTCAAAGAAGCAAAGGAGCACTAAAAGGAGGAAAAATCACAAGGAATATCCAAGGAGCTTGGAGGTGACTTGAAGGCCCTCCACTTGGGTGAATCCCTTGTGTAAACAAGGATGAGCTTCAAGGGTAAAGAAACTCTAAATCTTTACTTCTCTTTAATGTTGTTAAAGAGTTTATTGGTTCACCATATACTAGGCTTTAAAAGTCATGGGTTTTATAAATTGTTTTTTAATGCATGCCTACTTTAAAGTGTTAATAGTTTGCATATGTATTCAAATGTTCTTACTTGTTCTTAGCTAGGACAAAATTTTTCCTTCAAGTGGTATCAGAGCCTAGGCCTAGTTTATGGTGAATCCTTTTGGGTTTTGTGATTTTCATGATTTATGATTTAAATGTTGTAAATATTACAAGCTTTGTTCTTGCTTTTGAATATATAAATTTTGCTAGAAAATTTAGCATCTCAAATGTTGTAGATGTATTTCATTTAAGCATGAATATTGAAACTAAAATTTGGTGCCATGAATATTTGGAAATTCGGCCAAATCCTTAGGGTGATTTTTTGGGTTCATGTTTGTCTTGTTAAAATGGTTTTAAGGTGACTTTTGGAACCCCTAAGTACCCTAGGATATTAGCCCTCTTTTGAGTGGTGAAAAATTGAGTTTTGGTGTTCTTCAATGTTCTTGAAGTTCTTGCCAAGAACAAAAAGGTTTGAAGTTTTGATTCAAAAGTTTTATGTTTTTCATAAAGTTTTGGTTTAATTTTGATGGGTGATGATTATTGGTGAAGCATTATTATTGGCTTTAATGTTAGACAAATATCTTTAATGTTTGACATAATTTTTTCTTACAACCTATCTATATCACCTTTATATCTCACCTAATAAAATCAACTTGCATAAAATCCCTTTCACACTCTTTCACACTCCAAAAACCGGCCACCCCTTAGTGGAGGTACTTTTGGGGCCTTTTATGCAATTACATAAAGTTTTGATACTTTTATGTATTTGCACTTTGGCCCAAAAGTTTACGTTTTTACGTTAAGGCCCAAAAACTCTAAAGGACGAATTGTTTTGATCCTTTAATGATGTTTTTACATTATTAAAATTTTGGGTTCTAGTTGAAATTACATGAAGTTGTGGACTTTTGTGTTTTTTCAAAGTGACCCTAAAAGTTTGTGTTTTTGCATTGTGGCCCAATTGTTGTGGTCATAGTTTCCTTTTGGCCCAAATAAAATGAGAACAAAATTGTTTTGTCTCTTTAATGAGAATTGGATTTTCAT